GGGGCACCCAAGCCGGAGAGCACAGCATCACCGCAGGTCAGCCTAGACTCACAGCACCCTGGCGGCACCCTTGGGCTTCCTGACACCCTGAAGTCACTGCCAGGCCTCTGACCAGACTCCATCACCTCAGGACCGAGTTCACCAAGAAATCAACCTGCCAAAACTGTAGGCTATTGGCTCAAAGAGTAGTGGAACCCCGGGACAAGAACTGAGCGCTGGAGTAGGTAAAGCGGCCAACACGATGACCTTTCAGTACCTGTGCTGCAAACCATGATGCGCAAAAGAAAGGGAGGGGGGAGAGAGAGAGACAGAGGAAAGAGAGAGCGAGAGAGGAGGGAAACTGGGGACAATGGTGAAAGGTCGGGTGTTGGAGCAATTGTATGACTGAAACCCAGTCACGAACAACTTTGTAACTGTGTCTCATGGTGATTCAATTAAAAAAAATTTTTTTAAGTTAAGAATGAGGGGGCTGCGAAGTCATGAAATTTACATACAAGTGGTACTACATGGGAAGTATCATGTTAAGCGAAATGAGTCAGAAAGAGAGGGATAGAATAGAAAGATTGCATTCATCTGGGGGACATAAAGTAACAAAATAGGAGACTAACACCCAAGAATGGCCGAGATTAGTACCAGGAATTTTGCTCCATGGCTTGGAGGCCAACCACACATGCTAGGGGAAAAGGCAGCTCAGATAGAGAAGGGAGCACCAAATAAAGGGTGTTGGGAGGATCCTCCCAGGATGGGAGAAGCATGCTGAAAGTAGACTATAGACCAAACATGATTGCCACTCAATGCCTCTTTTGCAAACCACAACACCCTAAAGGAGAGAGAGAACAGAGGGGAATGCCCTGCCACAGAGGCAGAGTGGGATGGGGGGATGGGGGGTGGGAGGGATACTGGGATCAGTGGTGGTGGGAAATGGGCACTGGTGGAGGGATGGGTATTTGATCATTGTATAATTGAAACCCAAGCACAACATTTGTAAGTCTACAACTGTACCTCATGATGTCTCATTAATAAAAATAAAAAAATTTAAAAAAAAAAAGAGAGATTGGCTTAACGGCCTTGATCCCAGAGACTCAAAAACAAATCTCGAAACCCAGCGGCTTTTGGCAGAAATGTGTCCGGACCCCGCAGTCTGTCGCCGGGCCACCCCAGGGGGGAAAGGGTGCTGTCTCTCTGCCTGTTTCCTTCTGGCGGCTCGGTGGCTGTCATCCTCCAGAGGCCACTGGACAGTCAGGCTTGGGCCCGCAGTGACGAAACTTGTTGGGCCTCACAGGATGGGGTGGAGCCGGGCCTGTCCTCCCCACCCCAACGAGACCCCAAGTCATCGCCCACGAACGGCCTCTCTGGCTCCTCATCAAGCTGCTCAACGGCCACGATCCCAGAGACTCAGGAGCAGATCTCGAAACCCAGTGGCTTTTGGCAGAAATCCCTCCAGATTTAAGTGTTAAAATTTCAGAATTTCAAAACCACATGGCCCTACTGCAGTCACGCAACATCATATGTTATTCATAACCAGCAATAGAACACAAATTGTCTACTGTTGCCTTTTCAGCAGATCTGAGTGTTGGGGCAAAATATCAAATAATAATGGTGGGTCTGGTGTTGAAATATTGAACGTGATCAAAGTAGAGACGGAGTAATGGGGAAATCATCTGCCCCACAGGTAGGGGGATGGGGGTATACCGGGGGTTTTGGTGGTGGAGAATGGGCACTGGTGAAGGTACAGGTGTTTCATTGTATGACCGAGACTTAGACCCAAAAGCTTTGTAACTGCTCTCACAGTGATTCAATAAATAAATCACTTAATCACTTAATCACTTAATCCCCGTTATTCATCGATTTATTCGAGCGGGTGCCAGTAACGTCTCCATTCATCCCGGTTGCGTGCTAGCGTAGCCCAATGGTATCTGTTCGTTTTAGGAACATGTAGAGCCTCAAACCGATCATTTAGGGTCTTGACGAAGAAGTCTGACCATCTTATAGGTGGGCGTCCACGTGATCTTTTGATGTCTCGTGGAATCCAATCAGTAATGGCTCTAGTCCAACAGTTGTCTGTAAACCTCATTACATGTCCAGCCCATCTGATTTTTGATGTCTTGGCAAATGAGACAGCGTCCCTGATTCTTGAGCGTTGACGAAGATCAGAACTCCGGATTCTATCTCTCATTTGAGTGAATCGTGATATTCCAAGCATAGTTCTTTCGATTCCTCTTTGAGAGACCCGAATAGTGTTCTCATCCTGTTTTCGTAGGGTCCAGGTCTCTGAGGCATATGTTAATGCAGGAAGAATAGTGGAATCAAAGAGATGTGCTCATAGCTGGAGGTTCTTTGTCCTTTTAGTTATTTCTTCAATGCTCTTGAAGGCATTCCAAGCCGCTCTCTTCCTCCTGCGCAACTCAGGTGCCAGGTCATTCATCATGTTGATTTCTCGACCTAAGTATATATAACTGTTGCATTCGGAGATGGTGGTTCCGTTGAGAGCAAATGGAGCGTCAGGAACAAGGCTGTTTCTCATAAACATTGTCTTCGTAAGATTCAGCTGTAGTCCGACCTTTCCACACTCATGGTCAAAGTCCGCAAGCATTTGTGCCGCTTGGCTGATGTTTGGTGTTATTAGAACAATGTCATCAGCAAAGCGGAGGTGGTGTAGTTGCCGACCATCTATCTTCACTCCCATGTTTTCCCATTCTAGTCGTCGCATGATGTTCTCGAGGGTGGCACTGAAGAGTTTTGGTGAAATGGTATCACCCTGCCGAACCCCTCTCTTGATATGGATGATTACTTCTTTGTAGAATGGTGAGATCTTGGTAGTGAATCCGCAATAGAGCTCACGAAGGATCCTGATGTATCTAGTTTGTATGCCCTGATTGGCTAGGGCTTCCATGACCGCTTCCGTCTCAACAGAATCAAAGGCCTTCTTTAAATCAATGAACGTTAGACAGAGCGGCATCTTGAACTCCCGAGATACCTCAATGAGCTTGGTTATTGTGTGGATATGGTCAATGGTACTGAATCCTTTTCGGAATCCAGCTTGTTCACATGGTTGTCCTTCATCTAGTGTTCTGCTAATCCTATTCAGGATGACTCGAGTGAATAGTTTGTAGATGACAGACAATAGGCAGATTGGGCAATAGTTGCCAATGTCGTGGATGTCTCCTTTCTTGTATAGTAGTACAGTCTTGCTGGTTTTCCATTGGGATGGAACCTTGCATTCAGACAGGTAGCGTGTGAAGAGTCAAGCTAATGTATTGATGAGTACTGATGGTAAGTTCTTCAGGTGTTCAGGTCTGATCTTGTCTGGGCCAGGTGCTTTTTGTTTCTTTACCGACGAGATGGCATGTTGGATTTCGGAAGGGAGAACATTGGGAACAACATATCCATCATGTGGTATGTGGTATGTGGGCAAGTGGATGTGGCTATTAAAGAGATCTGAGTAGAAGTCATGAATAATCTTCTCCATTGCCCTTCTGGAAGATGTGATAGATCCATCATGATGTCGGAGGGCAGTCATCTTGGTTTTGTAGTTGGTGAAGGACAGGCGGGCATTACGAATGTTTTTCCCAGCTTCTGCTGCATCTACCAGTACTGCTGCTCTCCTGTTTTTGAGGTCATCCTTGATGGCTTTTCTGCACTGTTTTGCCAGTTCGGACGTTTGCTTGTGGTTGCCTGAGGCACGTGCCACGCCACGTTGGCGAATAAGTTCAAGAGTGTTCGAAGAAAGACGGTTTTTTGTGGTTATCTCTCTCTTGGCATTCCTTGCACAATCATGGAGGTGCTGAATCATTCGATCGTATTCCTCATCAATGTTGTCAATGACGGCATCTTCCCATGTTGCTGCAACAGAGCCAAAGAGTTCCCAGTTGGTGGTTGTTCTGGGAGTCTTCTTCTTAAACCTTGCATTCTTTTCTCCTCGTTCTGTGAGGTAGAATTTTGCACGAAGAAGACGGTGGTCTGATCCCGTTTGGAATTTTGGGACAACAGCAACATCGGTTAGGCAAAACCGCCGATTGAATATGATGTGGTCTATTTCATTGTGGAACCGTCCATCGGGAGACTCCCATGTCCAACGTTTAGATTCAGCCTTTTGGAATTGTGAGTTACCATGGAAGGTTTTGGTTGACATGATGAACTCAGACAGTCTGTCACCCTGTTCGTTCCATTCCAGGCCATGGGTTCCGATGTGGAGTTCATCGACTGATCTTCTTGGTCCTATCTTGGCATTAAAATCACCGACAATGATCTTGTAGAAGGTGTGATCTTCTTTATAGAATTTCTCCAGCTCCATGTAGAATTTCTCGGTTTCTTTTTCACCATAACTGGATGTTGGTGCATAGACAACAAAGATAGAAACTGCCGGTAGTGAGCCACATTTATTCAAGTGTAATCGTCCGATTCGGGTTGTTAGGCATTCAAATGAATCAATGCTTGTGACTAAGTTTGTGTTGACAAGGATACCGACACCACCGACGCCTCTTTTATCACATGTTCCAAGGAAAAACACCAAGGCAAACATGGGCTGCCAAAACGCAGAAAAACAAAAATGATTGTCTGTACTTTTAATGCTCGTATGCTGGCATCTGCTGCATCCATTGAAGACCTTATGGTACAAGCACGAAAGATCAAGTACAACATCATTGGTCTGACCGAAACGAGAAGACATCAATCCCATCATGCTGTTTTCGACACTGGAGAAGAACTATTCAATAAATAAAATTATAAAAAAATGAAAAAAAAAAAGAGATTGGAGGGAGAGAGTGGAGGAGAGAACGCCAGATGGGTCAGGAGTCCTTGAGGAACTTGCTCAAGGTCGTAAGGTTGATGCCCATGAGTTGCCAGCTGCAGGGCTGATGGATGGAAGATGATTCTTTCTAGTGAAGGGCCTAGAAACATGTAACGGGAGAAGAAGGTGAATTTCATTGGAGAGAGTATCCAGGTTCGAAGGGTTCACGGAGCTTGTCTGACCCCCAGACCCTATAAAGGTGTAAAGTGGGGCTTGCTTAGGCAACCAGGAGAGTAAAATTGATAAAATACAGAGAATATTTGCATGGTTCCTGTGCAAGGATGGCCTACATGGTGGTCGAGCATTCCACATTCTTTAAAAGAAACTAAGAACCAGAGAGAGAGTAGAGGGGAAAGACACTTCCCTTGCAGACAACTGACCTGGATTGGTCCCCGGCACTGCATATGATCTCACACCTGTTGCACAATCAGGAGGGCTTGATGAGAGCAAGGAAAGGAAGGAAGGAAGGAAGGAAGGAAGGAAGGAAGGAAGGAAGGAAGGAAGGAAGGAAGGAAGGGAAATGAGTAAGGGAAGGAAGGAAGGAAGGAAGGAAGGAAGGAAGGAAGGAAGGAAGGGAAATGAGTAAGGGAAGGAAGGAAGGAAGGAAGGAAGGAAGGAAGGAAGGAAAAGAGGGAGAAAGGGAGGGATAACAGAAGGAAAGAAAGAAAGAAAGAAAGAAAGAAAGAAAGAAAGAAAGAAAGAAAGGAGGAAGGAGGGAGGAAGGAAAGAGGGAGGGAGGGAAGGAAGGAGCCAATGAGTGAGAACCCTGAGCTTCTGCCACAGAACTGAATGTACCAAGGGAAAAGGGACCTATAGGCCAAGGTGGGGGCCTATTGATGCTCTAGAGGGGGGTGCCATGTAGTACATTGTGTGTTGAAAGCATTCATTTTAATACTAATCATGATCTCTTAAAAAATAAGATAAAGCTAAGGCCAAAATAAAGTCAGAATCCCCAAGGTGAACTAGATCAAAGGAGTTAAATGTTAAGATAGCACAAATCTAATTAGCCTGTCTAGCAATGACCTAGCGACCCCCCATGGTTAAATGTGAGATACCTTTTTTCAAAGAAACATGGGGCAGGAGAGAGTGCAGTGCATGTAGCCAACCCTAGTTCAGTTTCTGACACCACATGATCTAAGGATCCGCCCAGGATGGGAGATGCGCGCTGAGAGTAGACTATAGACCAAACATGATTGCCACTCAATGCCTCTTTTGCAAACCACAGCACCCAAAAGGAGAGAGAGAACAAAGGGGAATGCCCTGCCACAGAGGAAGGGTGGGATGGGGGGATGGGGGGTGGGAGGGATACTGGGATCAGTGGTGGTGGAGAATGGGCACTGGTGGAGGGATGGGTACTGGATCATTGTATAACTGAAACCCAAGCACAAAAATTTGTAAGTCTACAACTGTACCTAAGGGTGTTTCACTAATAAAAATTAAAAAAAAAAGAATGCAGGGAGTGATCCCTGAACGGAGAACCAGGAGCAGCCCCTAAGGTCTGCCATTTGTGGTCCAAACCACCCCCCTCCCCAAAAGAAGTTCATCAGTAAAGGTTCAATCTGGTAGGAACCAACTTGATACAGTTTGATCCACTCTAAACTGGTTAGAACCAGTTTGATCTGGTTTGAACAAGTTAATCCAGTTGGAGCAGCCAACAACACTGCCACAGACTGGCATTGGCACATGTTAGCACTGACTGGCACAGATTCCCACCATTTGCCACATACTGGCACATTTTTGCAGAGGGTGACATAGGCTTGGTATTGACTAACATGGACTAGCACCAGTTGGCATCTCCTGGCATAGACTGGCAGTATTGGCAGGATCCAGCACTATCAGGCAAGATTGGCATCTGTTGGCATCAACTGGCACAGGTTTGGCACTGACTGGGATGATTGGTATATATTGGTTCTGTTTGGAACAGACTGGCAGTAGCTGGCACTGTTTGGCACAGTCTGGCACATGTTGGTTACTGGTACTAGTTGGCACTAACTGGCATATGTTATCATGAGTTGACAGTGTCATTGAATGGAACAGAGTGGCACTACCTGTCACTTGTTGACATCAGATTGGCACTGGTTAGCAGAGACCAGCATAGATTGTCACTGACTGGCATGGGTTAGCACAGGCTGTCACAGTTTGGTACTGACTATCAAGGAATGGCACAGACTGGCATGGATTGGCACTGGGTGGCATGAGATGGTATATTGTGCAATAGTGTCATCTGGCAAGACTGGCACTGACTGGCATAAAATGGCATCAGTTACATGGGTTAGCACCGGCCAGCACATGTTGACACTGGCAGGAATGGACTGGCACTGGTTGTCAAAGAGTAGCACAGGATGACACTGACTGGCACCAGGTGATAATGCTGGCAACAGCTGACAAAGAATGGCATAGACTAGTGTCAATTGGTGCCAGTTGGTATGGGTTGGTAAGTTTAGCATTGTCTGGCTCAAATTGGCATAGACTAGTATAAGTTGCCACTGAATAACATGGTTTGACAACTGCTGACACAGAGTGGTGCAATTTGGCATATACTAGCAAAGTCTGGCAAGACTGGCACTTCCTGGGACAGGGCAGTACTATCTGGCACAAGGTGGCACTGGTTGACTTGCACAGGAGAGGCTCCCTTCTGCTCCAGATCCTCACTTCCTGACACAATTTGTTTTCTGAGGGTTGAGAGGTTTCCTTTGAAGGAAGTTCCATTGAAAAGGGACCTTATGCGAGCTAAATTACCAGCTGTTACATAACATACACCATACCCATTACATACATGCACCATACCCGTTATATACATATACCATACCCGTTACATACATGTACCATGCCCATTACATACATGTACCATACTCATTACATACATATACCATACACCATTAGCTTTCACCGGCGTCCGTTGGTTGTTCTTAGGGAACAGTGACAAGGCCAGCTCTCCTCGTCAACCCAGGTGGCTGACTCCGCCTTTATCATCTCCCAGTGACGTAGTCCCTGCAGGCCGGGGGGCCTCTCCACACTTCCTGTGTGGGGTTCAGAAACCCGCCTCCGAGCCCGGACAGGTGCCTGCTACAGAAAATGGTGAGTCTCTCTCTTACAAAGCCCCCTTTCATGTTGGCCCCGGGACCCCCCTCTCTGAGCAGCTGGGGTTTGGAAGAGGACCTCTGGTCTTTTCAGAAGCAATAAGCCAACAGCCTCCGCCATCTTAGGTTGAGCAAGTGTCCGGGGAGAGGACAATGCAGCCAGGGGCGCTCTGGAGAGTTCTGGGACTCTGCATCTTATCAGGTGAGTGGGATGGAGTGGAGGGGAGCTCAGATCCCAGAAGATGCGGGAACTGTTTGTGCCATGCCAGGGTGGGGAGCGAGATCTGAGAAGGGCCGTAGATCACATCTATTGAAAGTCAACAGTATTCCCTGCCTCTAGAACAAGCTTGCTCTGTTCAGGAGCTGACGCATCCATTTGGATAAGAACAAACAACGCAACCTCATGGTGTTTCACTAATAAAAAAAATAAATATAAAAAAAGAAAAAACAACACAGAGGCTGAACTCAAACTCTGGGTTTAGCAACACCTCTGAACGTATTTTAAAAGAATTCAAAAATTTTGATCCTTTATAGCTGACTAGGAACATTTTTGTTTCTGTTTTTGAATCACATCCAGCTGTGCTCAGGGCCTACTCCTAGCTCTGAGTTCAGGGATCAATCTTGGCAGGGCTCAGGGGACCATATGGGGTACCGGGGATCAAATCTAGGTTGGCCACATGTAAAACCAAGGGCCCTTCCCATGAATTTTTTTATGGTTTTAGACCTTCTTGAAGCCAGGTAGAGTATAAATTGATAAATCACCGTACCAGGATGTGGCTCAGCCATAGAACATTTGCTTTGCCTTATGAGGTCCTAGATTTAATCCATAGCACTAAAAGAAAAAAAAGAAAAAGAAAAAAAATATATATATAGTAGGGATGAAGGAGGCAGCCCCAAGGGCTAGTGTGTGTGTGTGAGTGTGTGCGCGTGCTTTGCAGACAGCAGTGCCTTGTGTGATCCCTGATATTGCGATTCTCCTGAGCGTTTGTAGGAGCAATCTGAGCCCTGAGCACCACCAGGTATGACCAAAAAACAAACCCCCCAAAAAGGCATAAATGAATTGATGTCCAGGAAGAGCATGTTTATAGCCGCCATGAGAGGAGTCAGATTCCAGTGAAAAGTTGCCGCGCGCATTGCAGGCCGCACTCTCGTCTTGACTGGCCCTGACACCCCGACACTCAGCCTCTCTCTCCCGTGTCCTCCAGTCACAGCAGAGGAAGGGGAAGGCTCAGACCCACAAACAAGTTCAATGATTTGTTGAAAATCCCAGAGCTAGTCACTGCTAAAGCCACTCTGGGAAGTACGACTGTCTGTCTGTCTGCCTGTCTGTCCATACGTCAACGAGGCCTACATAGTTTCCTCCAAAATCGGTCCTGTATAAATTTATTTCTGAGACCAAGAAGTATGTTCTCTCGGCCGGGATCCTGTCCTAGGGACACTGTGGTGATGTCCCCACTTCCTGCTTCATGGGGGCTTTCTCAAGCTTGAACACTACTCAGGAGCCTGCTGGAAATGGCAGCTTCTGCTTCTGTAGAACCTAGAGCGTAAGCTACGAGAGAGAGAGAGAGAGAGAGACAGAGACAGAGACAGAGACAGAGACAGAGACAGAGGCAGAGACAGAGACAGAGCATCAAAGACCCAGCACCCCTAGATTTGGTGTTACAGGAATATGTCTGTTGTTCTGAGTAGAAACAGACGAAGGAATGTCACCCAGTCAAGGAAATGTGGATAGAAGATAAAGATTTAGAGTCATAGAAACTTCCAGGCCAAGCGATAGCATAGCAGGGAGGGTGTTTGCCTTGCACACATTTGGCCAGCCCGGGTTTGATTCCGGCAACCCATACCCCCAAGCAACACCAGGAGTAGTTCCTAGGTGCAGTGCCAGGAGTAACCCTTGAGCATCATAGGGGGTGACCTAAAAAAGCCAAAAAAAGGGGGCTGGAGTGATAGCACAGATGGTAGGGCGTTTGTCTTGCATGCGACTGAGCAGGGTTCGATTCCCAGCATTCCATATGGTCCCCTGAGCCCTGCCAGGAGTAATTCCTGAGCGCATGAGCCAGGAGTAACCCCTGTGCATCGCCGAGTGTGACCCAAAAAGAAAAAAAAAAACAGAAAAAAAACAAACAAACAAAAAGCCAAAAAAATAAAAATAAAAAATCTGGAATCTTCCAGGCCAGGCCTAGGAAACCATCCATCGTGATGAATCCACACAGTTGCCGAGAGTTCTGGGGTTACAGTGAAAATGGATCACATTCCCCCAGTGGAGTCTAGTTGATGAGTAATCAGATAGTCCAGCTTTTCGTCTCTGGCCTTGGAGAGATGAGAGTGCCTTGTACACAGCCAACAGGAGTTCAGACCTTGGCATCCAATAAGGTCCCTCAAATCCTGCCAGAAATGACCCTGAACACAGAGCCAGAAGTAGGCCCTGAGCACCTCCAGCTATGGCCCCCCAAACAAAGTATTTTCCATCTCTTTCTCAAGCAGAAAAGAAAATTTAAAATGGAGCCCAGACCTGCAGAAGCTAGGGAAGTAAGAAGCCCCTCACTGTGTGAATCTGGCCTGCCCAGAGCTCTCCGTCTGCCCAGAGCCGGCTCTTCATGAGGGGGACTTTCCTCTTGCTCCTATCACCTAAAAAGGCAGCCCCAATCCTTTCTCTAACTCCTGTTGGTGAAATACCGTGGGCTCCTATTTAACACTAGATGCTTCCTCACTGGTCCCAACTTGCCTATACACCCATGGTCAAGGTTCGAACCTGGGCCTCTGACCACCAATGCAGGGATGACTGTGAGCTAATGGAGGTTGGGTCACATCCAATGTTCACAAACAGTCGGACGATGATGCAGACCCTTTTTTGCCTAGAGGGGGACCGAAGTGATAGTACAGTGGGTAGGGCATTTGCCTTGCACGGCTGACCTGGGTTTGATCCCCGGCATCCCATGTAGTCTACCCGTGCACTGCCAGGAGTAATTCCTGAGTGCAGAGCTGGGAGTAACCTCTGAGCATCTCTGGGTGTGACCCAAAAAAGTAAAAAAAAAAATTTACTTTGCATATGGCTGACCTGGGTTTGATTCCCGGCATCCCATATGGTCCCCCGAGCACCAACAGGAGTAATTCCTGAGTGCAGAGCCAGAAGTAATCCCTAAGTATTGCCGGGTTGGCCCAAAAAAGCAAAAATTAAAAATAAATAAATAAATAATTTCCATTGGACAGTAGTAGACTACAACTTAACATTCCCAGCTCTTTCCCATTATCAGTGGAACTTAAGATAATATAAATAAACAATGTCTTCTTTTTTTTCCCCCAGATGTTCAGACACCAGCAACACTTACTAACTCTTTTTTTCTTATTATTTATTTTCTAGTTGGCGTTTGGGGGCAAGACGGTGAGATACATTTTCTTTCCTTCTTATGAAATCAGCCCCACGCAGTTTGTGCCATCTCTAGCTCCCCTCCGGGCCCACCCAAAGATGTTCCTACCTTTCTCGGTCTTTCTTTCTTCCATCTAGAGCTAGTTGTAAACAAAGAGAGACAAGAGACAGGGATCAGAGTTTGTCACGCGTTTGAACCCTGAGCTATTCTAAAGGAGAAAAAAAAAAAACCGAGACAATCACATTGAAAAGACCAACAATTGCATTTATTCGTTGGCAATTCATATTTGCCATGAGTCTGTCAGGGGTGCTCGGCAGGAACACCGGGGGTGGGGTGGGGAGGGACATGGGGGAGCCTCTGGGAAGCACGAGTGCCCTGTGGGAATCCCAGATGCGAAGGCTCTGACCACATGTGGCCTGGTGAGCACACAGGCCCATCCTACTGTCTCAGCCACATGAGCAGGGGCAGGAATTCCCTGAGAGGAAAGCCTTTCTGCCCCAGCACCTCTTCCAAATGAGCTGCATGGGGGAAGCTCTTTCAGACTGACTATCCCAGGCAAACCTGAGCAATCCACTTGCTGCCACATAGTCCACGGGCTCCTTGTTTCCTTTTTGACAGGGCAGCATGCTTTACTGTGCTTCCTTACTGACAGATGGTTAACGTGGGAAGCCCCCACTGTGCTGTAGGAGAGCGCATCATTTTACAATGCTATTGCCAGCCACAGTTGCTGCTTGTTTATCCAATGGCACATGCCAGATTCTCTTCCTCATTTCCATCTGTGTGCATCTCAGGGACCACTAGTGTGGAAACTGGGGCCAGCCTGCGGTGTCGAGAGTCATGAGTTGGCTTGGAATAGGGTGGAAAATGATGACTGAGGTTCACGAATGGTCATCAGATCGCTAACTCCTGTAGGTTGTAGGTTCCCAGTGGGGTTGGATCCACAGCTTCCTTAAGGTTGAGGGAGGGTCCCAGTCTAAGGAGGGAATTTGATCTGAGGGACCGTCTGGAGTATGACTAATGGTTTCTTGCATCCTCTTTTCAGAACAAGAAAACGCTGGTAAGAGAATTTAATTTTTTTTCTCCTTCTTTTATTTAATTAGTGATAGAGAATGATCAGAGACATAAAATAAACACCACAGACCAGAACTCTTAGAGGAAGTGTGACTGTCTTCCCGCTAGTGTTGTCTGAGAAGTACCTGTGTTTGTTACTGTCATGTGCCATCATAGCAATAAATGATACGGATCTTTGAGCATGTGTGCAAGGGAAGGATAAAAAATGTAGGTGTGGGTGAGAGTCCTCCATTTTTGTGTCGATCATGAATTTGGAGTTTTTTGTTTACTTGCTTGCTTTGCGGGGCGGGGCACACACCTGCTCAGGGATCACTCCTGGCAGTGCTCAGGAGACCATATGGGATCAAACCGCATGCAAGGGTCAACCGCAAGCAAGGCAAATGTCCTATCCTCTGTACTATCACTCTGGCCCCTCCATCATGAGTTTGTTCAGTGAACACTTTGAAAATGAATAATCATACTCTTGAACGCATCACTAATTCACTCCCTAATGGTCTTGTTTGAGAAAAAAATGAATAATACAGGAGCTAGTATAGGGATTACTTGCATTGCATACAACATCAACTGATCCCCAGCATCACCAGGTGTGGCCCAAAACCCCCATCAAAGTTGATAATACAGTGTGTGCTCATTGCAGTGATTCAGGCAGATATAGAGTTAAATATAGAGGCAGTCACCTCTGCAGAGGATATTTGGGGAGGCTCCTGAAAGGAGGTCATTCTCTTTTTTGTGGGGATAAAAAAAAAAGAATGACCTCCTTACCATACCTGGTGATGCTCAGGGGTTTCTTTGGGCTCTGCACTCAGGAATCACTCCTGGCAAGTGTTGGGAACCATATGGGATGCTGGGGATGGACGCCAGGTCAACCATATGCAAGGCAAGAATCCTACCTGCTATACTATCACTCCAGCCCCAGGAAGTCATTCTTGAGCATAGTTTTTAAGGATGAGCTTGTGTTTTCGGAGGAAGCACACTTTAGGCAAAGGAGAAAGAGAGGGCTGTGGGGGGTGAGGGTGAGACTAACGCTGAAGCTAGACTGCCATATTGGAACTCTCTTTTTGTCATGTTTTCTTTTATTTGGGGGCCACACCCGGTGGTACTCAGGGCTTACTCCTGGCTCTGCAGTTAGGGATCACTCCTGATGGTGCTTAGGGGACCATTCCAGAATCAAACCTGGCTGGCCACTTTTGTGTAAGGCAGACGCCTCTCTCCAGCCCCTTAAACTGCCATATTCGAATGTGGGCTCCATTTCTTTCTTTTTTAAATGAAATAATATAGTTTTATTTAGAGAAATATAAAGAAGAAAGCGTTCTATATTCAAGAGAGAACATGAGCTTCTCCGGATGGAAAAAGTTGAGTACACATCTCAGGCTGAGACGGATCTGAATCTCCTAGATAAAGAAATTCAGGCTTCTTTTCTTTCTTGCTGCCTGTCTTCAAATAGTGTTTTTTTCTGGGTCATAGCATCATTGTGTGGGAGACTTCGTGATATCTAGTTTGAGAGGTTGTGATGTGGCTGGAATGAACAATTCACTTAGAACATTATCTGGGAGCCGTGGGTAGAATAGTGGGTAGGGCATTTACCTTGCACGCGCTGACCTGGGTTCGATCCCCGGCATCCTATATGGTCCCCCAAGCACCGCCAGGAGTAATTCCTGAGTGCAGAGCCAGTAGTAACTCCTGAGCATCGCTAGGTGTGACCCCCAATAAATAAATATTTAAAAAAAATAACATTATCTGACAGACAGATAGAAGGCAGTGACATGGGGGGGGGGGGGCATGGGGAAGCTTTTAGCTATGATGAAAGAAGCAGCCTTGTTTTGGGTTTGGTTTGGGTTTTTTTGGTTTTTGTTTATTTGTTTGTTTTTGCTTTTTGGGTCATACCTATCCATGCTCAGGGGTTCCTCCTGACTCTGCACTCAGGAATTACTCCTGGCCGTGCTTGGGGGACCATATGGGATGCCGGGGATCAGACCAGGTTGGCAAATGCCCTACCTGCTGTACTATTACTCCAGCCCTTATTTTGTATTATAAAGATAATAAGCATTTGTTTTTGGGGGGCTGGGGATGAAATCTAATGATAGTTTATGCATTCCTTGTAATGAACAATCCCTGGGTTCAGTACTGAGCACCACACAGACTCATAAAAAAGAGATGGGGGCTGGAGAAATTGTACAGCAATTAAGATGTTTGCCTTGCATGCACCTGACCCCAGTTCAGTGCTCCCAGCACCACATGGTCCCCCATAGACCACTGGAATGGACTTCCAAGCACAGAGCTGAGAATAGCTAGGTGAGGCCCCAAGCAAACAAACTAAGAGATATAAAGTGCATTGAACATGTGTGTTTATGGTATTATTTTAAATACCTTCTGTGATTCTTCTAACATTTTTTATTGCGCCTATTAGGAAACCCAGGCTTAGGAAATACATAAATCATGGATCTATGTGCTGACTGAGCTAACACAATGCTCATTCTCTGTGTCTGGATGTGGATAGAATCGGTGCGAGCCAGGAGAGCTTATGACTTGCATGTATGAAAGCTTGGGCTCCACCCCTGACACGCCCTTCAAAAAACAGTTGATAACTGTGTTTACAGAAGTTGTAAATATCGCAATTTTAAAAGTATATTCTTTGGTTTCTGGGCAAGGGTGGTACACCTGGCAATGCACAGGACTAACTCCTGGCTCTAGCACTTGGGAGGTCACTCCTAGAGGGGCTCAGGGAACCATTTGTAGTGTCATGGATTAAACTTGGGTCAGCCACATGCAAGGCAAACGTCATCCCTGATGTACTATCTTCACAGTCCCTAAAAATATATTTTTTAATATCTTTCTGGGCTGGAGAGATAGTACAGGGAGTAAGGCCCTTGCCTTGCATGCAGCTGACCTTGGTTTGATTCCCAGCACTGCCAGAGTGACCAAGGTATGCCACCAAGAGTAAGCACAAGTGTGACTCTAACACAAAGCAGAAGATCCTTGTGAGGGCCAGAGAGAGAGTGCAAAGGGCTGAGTGTTAGCTTTGCATGTGGGAGGACCTGGTTTCATCCCCCGCGTCTCTGTGTTCAGTCTTCTGAGCGCTGCTGGGAACAATTCCCATGCACAGAGACCAGAGTAGGTCCTGAGCACCACAGGGTATGGACCCCAAGCTATATATATATATATATATATATATATATATATATATATGAGCATCCCGATTTCTGACAGGTATCGACCTTTTCTGTGCAAGCAAACGCTACGCTCTATTATGGAATTTGTGGTAATGAGAGTTGTGAGCAGTTTCTTTTTTCCATTTCTTTCCCAAGCAAGTACACCGAGTGAAATTTCTAAAATTTCTAAATTTCTAAAATTTCTAAATGTCTAAATTTCTAAAATTTCTAAAGTGAAATTTCTATTTACCTTTAGATTCTTTCTTGGTGATGTTATAGTTGAACTTTGCTAAGAAGCAGCAACATTAAAAATAATTGGGTGGCACAGTGGGTAGGGCATCTGCCTTGCACTCGGCCGACCCAAGTTCGATTCCCAGCGTCCCATATGGTCCCCTGAGCACCGCTAGGAGTACTTCCTGAGTGCATGAGCGAGGAGTAACCCCTGTGCAACGAACACTGGGTGTGACCCAAAAAGCAAAAAGAAAAAAGAAAAGAAAAAAAAAGGAAAGAAAATAATTGGATCCAGAGCTGAAAGCATATACATAAATGAGAATAGGCATTATATTATATTATACTAAGTGGTTTTAATTTTTTTACTTACAAAGGTCAAAATCATATAGTAATCACTAATTGGATCTTACTGATTTATTTTCTGATCATTCTATTTGCCAGTTCTTAAAGTTTTGTTGGAATAAGCAATATAAAGTAAAATTTTCATGTGCCAAAGGGGGCAGTTTGGAGCTGGGAGGGAAACTGTGGATATTGATGGAGGGACGGTCACACTGGTAGGGTTGGAACACTAATTGCTTGAAGCAACTGTATAATGAACAATTTTGTAAACCATAGTGTTTTAAATTAAAAAAAACTAATTAGAAAAAGAAAACAATTAGAAAGGGGGCCACTTTGTGCAGGGGCTCTTCCTGGCTCTGTGCTCAGGAATCACTCCTGGCTCTGTGCTCAGGGTACTGAAACAGTATCAGCCAAACGCAAGACAAGTGTCTCAGCCCCTGACCTATTTCTCAAACCCAAACCAAGCCTAACTTCTTACCATTCTTCCCTTGTTTCATTTTCAGAGGTGTCTTCACCGGCTAGTGAGTGTCACTTCTCTTTTACACAGCCTATCTGCAGATGCAGGTCGGTGGAGGGGAGACAGGGGCCCGAGTGAGAGAGGTTTACCCAACATGGTGGTCCTCCCAACCTTCCATTTCCATGTCCCGTCCTAGAAACATTCCAATTTGGGATTTTTCCCCCCTTAATTTCCTTCATCCCACCCCCCACCTCCTGCCCCAGCCCATATCTACCCTCTAACTCAGGCATGTCCTTTGAAAGTTCTCTAGCATCCCCTTAATGTGGTCCATTTCCGTTCTGCAAAGGAAAGCTAAGCCCTGCCTGCAGACAACTCTCCACACTGGGCTGGTTCCCGTAGCCCTCTTTGCCTTCTCTGCCTCCTTCCTCGTGTCTCCCTCCCATTTCCCTCTCTTCTCTCCCATTCCCCAGACTATCCAACCTATGAAGTCTCCATCTCGGGGAGCAAGGTGGTACTGACATGCCCCAAGGACTATTGGGACCAGGACCTGGAGGATATGAAAATCACATGGGAGAAGAAAGATGAAAAACAGCAGGACGAGACCTCCTACACCTACGCCATAAACAATTTCTCTGAAATGGAAGACAGTGGTTATTACAGATGCTACAATGAAAAAAATAAGGGAAAAGGAAAGGACCATTATCTCTACGTGCGAGCACGAGGTAACGTGGGTCTGCAGTGCTCTCTGTGCCAACCAGCCCCCCTCCCCCCATAGCTTCCCCTCACCCAGCTCAGTCCCCGGGCTCTGTGCTTCTCTCTGGGGCCACATCTGTGTCTCCAAGAATACAGAGGGACCCCCGGATGGGGGTCATCAGCACCTGCTTTAAAACAACATCTCCAGGAACAGTCTCGGCCACTTGCGTTACAGCGAGACGACAATTCTAGTGCCACAGCAAGTGCTGTGAGTTTCTAGGGAGCTTTTTGGTTTTGGTTTGGGGACCACACCCGGTGATGCTCAGAGGTTACTGCTGGCTCTATGCTCATTAATCACTCCTGGCAGTGCTCAGGGGACCATAGCGGATGATCCCCGGGAATTGAACCCAGGTCAGCCACATGTCAGGCAAGCACCCTCCCCACTGTACTACCTCTCTGGCCCCCCTTCTCAGGAGCTTAATTGGGGAGCAACTCTTGGGAAGGTTTTATAGAAGAGATTGAATGTCACTATGATAAATTGCTGTCAGTTACTCTGGGGAGCTGGTTCAAAGGGCTGGAGGACATGGTTTGCAAGTGGGAGCCACCGACTCAATCCCCAGCACCGCAGGGACCCCACCCCTCAAGCACCACAGAGAGTGCCCACCCCATGCCCCGAAGGACATGTCATAGTGATTACAGATAAAGGGAACTCATATCCATCCTGGTTTTATGGAATTTTGATCTCTGAGCCAAACACTCGCCAGGAACTGCTTCACACTAACCTCCGGCCAGCTAGGGAGACGTCCTGATTTCTCCCTGCTTCATCTGGGAGGAACCAGAGACTTTGAGAGTCGAAAACACATTTCATGGGTAGTACATGTGAGAGGATCTGGGTTTGATCCCTGGAATTCCGCCCCCCAAAAAAAAACCCCACAAACATACAAAAAAGGAATGGACCAGAGAGATAGTACAGAGAGACTATGCAGGCATTGCCTTGCTTTTGGTTGATCTTGATGCAGTTTCCAGTCTCACATCTGGTCCCTCAAGCATTGCCAGGAGTGACCTCTGAGCACAGAGCAGATGGGGGCCATGGCAAGCACAGGTGCCTTGTGGGGACAGTCCCCGTCACGTGTTTCTTCCTCGGACCTGCTGTCCTTGTCCTCTGGGCCTATCTGTGATCTCTCTGATCCCGCAGTGTGTGAGACCTGCTTGGAGTTGGGTGTGGCGGAAGTGGCCACCATCATCGTGGCTGACCTGTGCATCACGCTGGGCCTGCTGGTGGGCGTGTACCACTGGGGCAGGAACAGGAAGGCCAAGGCCAAGCCCGTGACCAGAGCAGCAGGCACCGGCGGCCGGCCCAGGGGTAAGACCACGGGGAGGGCTTTGGGACACTCAGGGGAGTGTCCGAGTCCAGCTGGCCCTGTAGGGTGGCAAGTGCAAGGACGGGAAAAGCAGCTTCTGCTGAACTTTGCTGGGACACCAAGGACTCTACGGGGGGGGGGGGGGGGGGGGGGGGAGTGGGGGGAGGGGGAGGTTGCCTCTCAGCCGGCTCCTCTCATTCCCCACCAACCCCTGAGAAAAGTGCAAAATGGTTGCATTAATGTTTGGTTTGGTTTGGTTTGGTTTGGTTTGGTTTGGTTTGGTTTGGTTTGGTTTGGGACCCACCCAAGGACACTCAGGACTGCTCCTGGCACTCCCGCCTGTAGAGCCCGCACTCCGACACTCTGAGCCTTCCCCCCAGCCCAAAGAATTTGATCTTGTTTGGGGAGGAGGGACACACTCAGCTGTGTTCAAGGAGCACTCCCGGCATTGCTCTGGGGACCACACGGGGGTGGGGGGGGGGGGTCAGGGGTTGAACCAGAATTGGCCACTTGTAAGACGAGTACCCTATTCTATCTCTCTGGCCCAGACTTTTGCCTTCTTTTTGTGGATTGCTTGTTGGTTTGTTTGTTTTTTTGGGGGGAGGCGGTTTGCTTCTGGAGGACCTTGGGCACCAAGCAGTGCTGGGGATGGTGCCCGGGGCATCCACATGCAAGGCCTGCACTTTGGCCCTTTGAGTCATCTCCTTGACACGCAAAAGAAGAGTTTTCAATATCAGAACAGGCCCCCACGTGCCCATCAGTGTCCATCTCCATGGTGGAGTAAGGGGGACCTAGAGACCCTCGTCACCTCTTTCCTTTTTCATTCCCCCTCCCACTCCACCACAGGAGATGTGGCAGGAAAACAACAAAGGAACCGATTTAGGGATGGAGGTAGGCAGGGAGGAGAGGGCTTGGTGAAGGGCCTGACAGCACGGATATGAGGCTCGTGGCCTCATACCAGGGCTTCCTGGAGACTTAACGCTTCCCTCCTTCCTTCTTTTCAGGACAAACTAAGGAGAGGCCCCCACCGGTCCCCAGCCCAGACTATGAGGTAATGAGAGGGAGTGTGTGTATGGGGGAGGTGGGTCCTTGCCAGGGAGAGGGGACAAGGCAGGACTGACCATCTGGCTTTCAAGGCACTGCAGAGCCCTCACCCGAGGCTCCCCCATAACCCCCCGCCACAGTGCTAGCCTTACTCATTAGTGGAGATCTGACCACGGGGACAAATCCCACCAGCACACGCTGTCCTGCTAACACCGCTGCCTCAGTCAACACATAACTTGGTTAAGAAACTATTTCAGGGGACCAGAATGATATAGCATGGTGGGTAGGGCGTTTGCCTTGCACACGCCTACCTGGGTTCAATACCCAGCATCCCATATGGTCCCCTGACCACCGCCAGGAGCAATTCCTGAGTGCAGAGCCAGGAGTAATCCCTGAGCATCATGGGGTGTGACCCAAAAACCAGAATAAGCAAAAAGAAAAACAATTTCACTGCCTCCTACACATACACACACACACACACACACACACACACACACGCACACATACACCCTGCTTGCTGCAGCTCTCCCCCACTGGCCATTTGCTCAACAGTGAGATTCACACACACACACACACACACACACACACACACACACACACACACCTCATACCTCTGACCCAGCGGGAGACCCTCAGGCCAATTCTCCTGGCTTGGTGTGTGTATTCCCAATAGACACGGCTGCACATCTTGGATGTCACTCCTGGACACACTCACCAAATATTTATTAATTACCCATCCAGCAGGTGGTATATTGTCTTTGCATGCAGGTCTCTGCTCCGCTCTGACCGATGCTCCGAGGCCTACCCTCCTCTGTTTCCCATTTCTGAGGTGGGAAAGTTGAGGCTCAGGGAAGTGGCTTGGGCCTATCTCCTGTTGGGGCCAAGTCAGTGACAAACCTACCTTTCAGATGCCTAGTCCCTGCTTCCTCCCCGGTCCTCCAGCTAGATGGGCAGAGGCCAGCTTTGGGGGAGTTTCTTCCCCCCCACAGTGACCACCCCACTCTTCCACCCGCAGCCCCTCCGGAAAGGCCAGAAGGAACTGTACTCGGGGCTGAACCACAGAGGCGTCTGACAGGTCTGGGGACCCCCCTCCCCAGGGCTCTCCTGGATCCCCGCTCCTCCCGTGCCCTGGCTGAGGGACAACAGTCCCTCTGTCTGATGGGAAATTGCGTACTGCTGCCCCCACCGTTGCCCCCTGTCCCCAGTTGCCTCCTTCGAGCTGGCACCCCATTCTGGACTGAGGTGCCTTCCTGTCCTCCGAGGCCTGGCCTCACCCCCCTCACACCTGTGCCCTTCGTCAGCGTCAGCGTCTCAATCTCACATTGCCACCATTGTCATTGGCTTTGATGTTCCCCTTTCCTTCCTCCCCAGTCTCCAAAGCACCCAGTTCCCACCTCCCACCCCACCCCCAGGCTCCACTTCAAAGCCCCAGTCACCTGTGGCCGGGCCCTTGGCAGGGCGGCTAGAAATAAAAAGCTTTTGGCCAAAGGACTCACTGTGTCTTTTCTGGGAAACCGTCAGAGGCTGCCCAGTTTCCTGAGCGCATGCAGGTTCTCTCTACCGTCGCCTAATTTCTAGCAACGTGCCAACGCAAGTCCTTCCTCTCCGCATGGCTGGTGGGTATCACCTGAAGTTCTTTGGATGGGGCATCAAGGAATGGATGAATAAATAGAACCACAAGGGAGGGAGAGAAGACAAGCAATGCTTTGACTCACTTCTCTCAGAGAAAAGCACTCAAAGAGGCAGAGGGGCCGTCAGTTCGGGAAACTGTGTAGACGGAAACAGACACCCGGGGCCTGAGAGACAGCACAGATGGGGCACTCATCTTGCATGTGGCCCACAAGGTCCAGTCCCCGGCACTACAAGTGGTCCCCCCAGTCCTGTCAGGAGTAATTCCTGAGCACAGAGCAGAAGTCAGCCCTGAGCAACATCCTAGAGTGTGAACCACCTCAAAAAATACCAAGTCTTGGGAGTCAGAGCGATAGCACAGCAGGTAAGGCCCCTGCCTTGCACAGGGCTGACCCGGGTTCAATCCCCGGCACCCCATGTGGTCCCCCAAGCCCACCAGGAGTAATCCTTGAGGACAGAGACAGGAGTAAGCCCTGAGTACTGTCAGGTGTGACCCCAAAACAAACCCAAAACTAGACAGTCTTAAAAGGCAGATGAAGGGGCTGGAACGATGGCACAGCGGGTAGGGCATTTGCCTTGCACGTGGCCGACCCGGGTTCGATTACTGGCATCCCATATGGTCTCCTCTGAGCACCTCCAGGAGTGATTCCTGAGTGCAAAGTCAGGTGTAACCCCTGAGCATCGCCGAGTGTGATCCAAAAAGCAGATGAAGAAGTGTAGATGGAACTTAGTGGTGGAAACATAGGTTCAGACCCGCACCCCACCCAGCCATATACAAACAAATGTGCATGTACGCACATGTGCACACTCACACACACTCACACACACGTTTATGTTCAGGGCTGATGAAGCAGCAGATAAGAAGGTTGGAGGAATGAGACCAGGAAGATGACACAAAGGGCTGGAGCTCAGGCTTTGCATTCCAGAAAGACACCCCACTGGTGTTGGGACACCAACTGCCTAACACGACTCTATATTAAACAACTTTGTAAATCAAGGTGTTTTTAATACATTTATATATCTAAAATAAAGACACCCCCACCTGATCCCCCAGAGAACTCCCAGAGCAACCCCCAAACACTCCTGGATGTGACCCCAAAACCAAAACACACAGGAAGAAGGATGGAAGGGGGGCCTGGAGCGATAGCACAGCGGAAGGGCATTTGCCTTGCACGTGGCCGACCCAGGTTCGATCCCCAGCATCCCATAGGGTCCCCCGAGCACCCCCAGGAGTAATTCCTGAGTGCAGAGCCAGGAGTAACCTCTGTGCATCATCACCGGTGTGACCCAAAAAGCAAAAAAAAAAAAAAAGATGGAAGGGTACAGGGAGTGGGGCCGGACCCAGATTTCCACAAGGTGATTTGCCAAGGATGAAGTGCCTAGTAGGGCTGGGGATGTGAAATGCCCCCTCAGACCCCTCCCCCAACGGCTTTGCAGGCTCCACTCCCTTCCTCCCTCCCTCAAGGCTGAAGCAGCAGGAAAGGTAAGGTAGGGGTTAAGCAGCAGGAAGTGGGTGGGGGGCGTGGCTGCGGCTGTGGGGGTGTCTGACCTCAGCATCCCAGCAGGGCAAGGCTGCAGAGAGGCAGGTGCAGCTGCAGACCTCAGCGCTCCCTCCAACACTCAGGGTCGGCATGCTGCTGGCCACAGGGCTATTTCTGTGTCCAAACACAACCCCGAAAGCCATTTGTGGTTCCCAGCTCTCCACGGGCAGGCAGACGGCATACTCAGGCTCGGGCTTGCGGCTCCCGCTTCTGTCTCCTGGGGGCAGTGTGTTTGGAAAGCATGTCCATGGAGTTCACGGGCTCTGGTGGGCAGGTTGGCTCCGGATGGGGCTCAGTTCCAGAGATAACAACTGGGAGAATGGACTGACTATGGACGTCCATAGGCGTGCCTCACTCCTGCCTCTCAGCGCCCTCTCCTTGCTGCCCTCCTGCTTCCTGGCCCAGGCGACATCACTGGATTCCTTTGGTGTTTACGTGCTACATCTCCCAGTGGTGGTGGTGGTGGGGGGGGGGAATGCAAAGGGAAAGGGGTGACAAGCATCTTCCAGCTCCTCTTTCCACAGTTGGAGTTGGACTCCACTTACACCTGGACACTGACAGGCACGTGACCTGTCCTGATTTTGATAACTCTGTTCTCATCTATGTACCTATACTTAAATTCAGATGGCCCGAATCCAAATCAGTTGAGATTCATTCCCAGCTGGGGAGTTGAGTGCTCAGTTGGGGCTCCCAGCTTGGTGAGCATGGCCACGCCATTTCACTGCACACACGTTCTTTCACTTCATTCTTTTTTGGTTTGGGGGCTACATCCAGCGATGCTCAGGACTTATTCCTGGCTCTGCCCTCAGGAATCACTCCTCGCAGGTGCAAAACAAAACCAGACTGTTTTCCATCTCCTTTAAGCTCTGACTTTCACTGCTGGGGTTCCCTTCACTAAGTGCTTTTCTAGTCACCCTATGGGATGCTGGGGATCAAACTCAGGTTTGTATGGTCACTCCAGTCGTTCATGTAATTCTTGCAGTTCCACAAGGTCAGCATGTCTGCACAGAAACTCAGACAAGTTTAGTCATTCTCCAAGATGCACAGATTGTGCGGGTCAGAGTTGGGATTAGCTGTCAAGATGATTCCAAGTGGGGTCCACATAGCTGCCAAGTGCCAGTGAAGAGCAGAAAGAATGTTCTTTGGCCGGAGAGCTGGTTCAGAAGCTGACACACGTTCTGCGTATGCAGGAGCTCCAGGTTTGAACCCTGGAACCACGTGGTTTCCAAAAACCAAACTGGGAGTGTTAGTCCTGAGCACAGCCAAGTGTAGTCCCCAAACAAATCAGACCATCTTCCATCTCCCTGCCTTTAAGTTCTGACTCTCATTGTTGGGGTTTCCTTCACTAAATGCTTTTCTTGTCATTCAGCGAGATGGCAGCCTTGTGTCTAGGGACATGGGCTACAAAAGAAACGTTTCAGTCCCCAAGGGTATGGGTGAGTGTGACCCCCATCACTGCAACCACAACAACAAAGGGAAGGGGAAATAAAACGATTGATGTAAATTCTCACTGTTTTCTCTCTCTCTCTCTCTCTCTCTCTCTCTCTCTCTCTCTCTCTTCCCATCTCTCTCTCTATCTAGCAGTCATCTGGGTTGATATTATTGGGGTTGAAACATTTGTTTCCTCCCTTTCCTTTGTCGTGGGTATGTGATATCCGGGGGTGCACCGTCAGTTGGGGTGTCCTGGATGACACTTAAAGATAATGGGGCAAAAAAAAGATAATGGGGCAATGAAAGGGGTCAAACTGAAAGGCAGATCCTTTCACTGAGTGACATCCTGGTGTGTGGTACAGGGGCATCAGGCAGTTTGTATAAGCTTAGAGGAAAGGCCAGGATCTAGACCAGTTAAATAATTTTCTTAAAAGTTTTATCCCAGGGGCTGGAGTGATAGCACAGCAGGTAGGGCGTTTGCCTTGCACGCAGCTGACCCGGGTTCAATTCCCAGCATCAATCCAGGAGTGACCCCTGTGCATTGCCGGGTGTGACCCAAAAAGAAAAAAAAAAGTTATATCCCAGATGGGGGGTGGGGTGGGTAGAGAGATAGTAGTACTGTGAGGAGGGTGTTTGCTTTGAACATGGTTAACATGGGTTTAAACCCTGACATCTCATATGGTTTTCTGAGCACTGCTGGAGTGATCCATCAGTCTGGCAGAGCCTGGAGTAACCTCTGAGAACTGCCGTGTGTGGACCCCCAACCAAATGATAATAATCACAATCACGATCACGACCATCCTGTTGTTCGTCGATTGCATCGAGAAGGCCCCAGTAATGTCTCCTTCGTCCTAGCCCTGAGATTTTTTTTAAAAGTGCCATATTCAAGGCTCTTTCAGGGTTAGGAGAATGAGACCCATCATAGTTACTGGTATTTGGCATATTGGGTATACCACGGGGAGTTTGCCAGACTCTGCCGTGTGGGCAGGTTACATTCGGTAGCCTGCCAGTTTGTCCAAAGTAGGAGTGTGATGACAAGATGTCGCGCGGAGAGTGGTCCCAGCATGGCCTTGGCTGGGGCCTGGAGGTCTTCAGCTGTTGGGCCCTGGTGGAGACAGTCAGGCACAGGGTAGGAGACTCTGCCTTGTTCTCTCCCGGGAGCTGAATGTGATAATCTCTGGATCCTGCCATTGTTGGGGTTACACAGCAGTTGGTGGGTGTAACTGTCTAGCTACTAGCAGGTCCAGTCCCAAACCGTGCAGGCTTGGAGATCTCAGCCCTGGGTCCCACACACCTGGGTTCCTCTGCCAGTTCTTTTATGCATGAGGCTCATCCAAGTGTGTGGAGAGTGGTCCCAGCATGGCCTTGGCTGGGGCCTGGAGGTCTTCAGCTGTTGGGCCCTGGTGGAGACAGTCAGGCACAGGGTAGGAGACTCTGCCTTGTTCTCTCCCGGGAGCTGAATGTGATAATCTCTGGATCCTGGCCGTTGTTGGGGTTACACGGCAGTTGGTGGGTGTAACTGTCTAGCTACTGGCAGGTCCAGTCCCAAACCGTGCAGGCTTGGAGATCTCAGCCCCGGGTCCCACACACCTGGGTTCCTCTGCCAGTTCTTTTATGCATGAGGCTCATCCAAGTGTGTGGAGAGTGGTCCCAGCATGATAATAATGATGATAATAATAATGTTATATCCCAGGGCCAAAGAGTATAAGATTATATTCCTGATACCACATGGTCCACCAGCACTGTGGGAGGTGACCCCAAAATGAAACTAAACAAAAAAGTTGTATCCCCTATTAAACTGTGGTGTGCTTATTTAATAGAAATAAAAGTGTAAGGGCTGGAGATATAGTACAAGGGGAAACTATTTGCCTTGCATGCAATTGGCCCCCAGTTCTATCCTGGGCACCACATATTGTCCCCCAAACACCTCCCTGAGCCAGGAGTAAGCCCTGAGTACAGTGTGGGGTGGCCCAAAACCAAAACACACCAAAAAAATTTTAAGAAATAGAGTATATGTACACATAAGGGGACATTTATGAATGCTCATAATCGCTTTATTTGAATAGTCAAATCTCAGAAAGAACACAAAAGACCATCAATAGGAGGATGGATAACAAGTTATGGTACATCCATTGAATAGAATAACAATATTCGGAATAATACCAAGGAGAGAACCGTGGGTACAGATGCAACAAGACTAGGAACTCAGCATTCCCGGCTGTGTGAGAAGCCAGGCTGCAGAAGAGCACAGCGCTCATTAAGTACACGATGGCATAGCGAAGAGGCCAGGCGCGGCCTCTATCCCTTCCCCGGGCCGTCTGGAGGCAAAAGATGCTCAATCCATTGAGCTTGCTCTCTAGCCTCAAAGCCGTCTTGTAGAAGCATGAAAATGACAAAGGGAGACTAGAAGGATAAAGGATAAAGAGCTTGCTTTGGTGTGACTGACCTTGGTTCACTCCCTGGCACCATATATGGTCCCCTGAGCACCATAGGGCTCAAAACCTCAGCAAAAATTAATAGATCTTTCAAAAAATTCATAAATAAAATGTCCTTAAGTTTATTTTATTTTCCTTTTGGCTTTTTGGGGGGGCTACGCCCGGCAGTGCTCAGGGTTACTCCTGGTTCTGCACTCAGGAATTACTCCTGCTGGTGCTCAGGGGATCATATGGGATGCCGGGGAATGAACCAGAGTAAGCTGTGGGCAAGGCAAATGCCCTCCCCATTGTGCTGCTGCTCTGGTCTCAGGCCTTCAGTTTATTAACTTGCTCTTAGAGAACTCAAGGAGGGAATCCCAATAGTCACCGACAGAAAGGACTTGAGGGAGTGAAGGGCTGCCAGTCTTCACCCTAAACCAGAGGCTGCATGAGGGCTCTTCCAACTCAGTGGGGGGGGGGGGGGGGGCTCCATGCCTGCAGGGGTTATCCAAGGCCTATATGCTTAATAACCCCCTCAGCCACCCAAAGGGCCAATGTCACCCCTCACCCATTGCTCAAAGATGACGTCGAGTGGAAATAACTCAATCCCTCACCTGGGCTCACACTCCAGCTTTCCAGGTGGGAGAAGAGGAATCACGTGTTTTAATTGGGTGGGAAAATGTCTGACAGCAGCTTATTATGCTGAAGGCAGGAGCAGGGACAGGGATGGCTCTGGGGAAAGGGAGCTGCAAGGGTAGGTGACGGATAAACAGACAAAATGATGATGATGACGAGATTATGATGATAGGTAGATGGCAGGTGGAGAGAGAGATAGGATGGATAGATAGACTGGATAGGTAGATAGATAAGAGTTGGATAGATTGATTGACGGATGGATAGACTGGATAGATAGATGATAGGTAGAGAGAGAGAGAGAGAGAGAGAGAGAGAGAGATAGGCACGCAGGCACAGTTAGCGGGTTAGATAGATAACAGCTACCTTCTCTACAAGGTAAAGAGGACATAAGGGCTCTAGGCTGTGGCGTCTTCAGTCAGTGTCTGCTCTGCGCGGTGGGGGCCACAAGCCACTCAGGGCTCCTGGTCTCGGTGAGATGTGAGTCCCACGGCCCTTCATGTCTCCGCCACCTCCGCTCGTGATGTCACGGAAACTTCCATGTGTTGGCGCCCCTATGGCAGGCGCTGCCTGCTCTTAGTTGTGGGAGGAAGCCCTGACAAGGTGGTGAGGGAGTTCTGTGCCCAGAGGCCTATCAGGCCAGAAACACTAGCGGGCAGGCCACCCTGGGGGGCTGCTGCCCCCGGTCTGTGTGGAACAGAAGATGAGACGAGGAGAAGGCAGGCAGAAAAGGTGAGGGCTCAGAGCCAGGATACCTCCCCACCCTGACCTGGCCCTGCCCCATGAAGTCGATGCGTTGCTTGATTGGCAGTGGCAGGAGAGAAGGTTCGGTCCAGAACTGTTGCTCCCAGAAGCCTCCCTGCTCGGGCTCATTCATTCGGGTGCGAGTTCTCACCAAGGTGACTGAAGGGGTTGTTGTTTCGAAGTCAATGGGCTGAAAGAGGAGGAGGAGGGGGCATGAGGAAGCAGGTCAGGACCCTCCCTGAGGGACAGACCTTCCCAGATCCCCAGAACACTTTCCCCTGACATGCGCAGACACCACGTGTATGTGCATATGTCAGACTCTCAACCCCTCCTGCTCCCCCTCTTCCCTCGGGTGACCACCACAGCACCCTTAGAGGTCTGTGGGAGCAATATATACACCCTCGTTCTTTGAATTACCAACTGTCGGAATCCTCAGAAGATCACAAGAGAGATGAGACCAAACCCAACTCACTGCAATACTTTAGCAGGTGCATATTCATGCGCACACACATGTACACACTCACACACACCCATGCAGACACACATGCACGTGTTCACATATACACATACTCACACACTCATACATACACACATGCACACACTCCCATGAACACACATCCAAACACACACACATGTGCTCACATGCACACACGTGCACATGTGCACACGATCCCACACACCAACACGTACACATGCACACATACTCACATATGCTCACATATACTCATGCACCAACACATGTGCACGTGCATGCACACACACACACACACGCACGCATGCACACTGGCCATTCCACTTACCTCCAGAGATCCTTCCGGTCTCATGTCCGGCAAAGCAATAGACTCCCAAAGCCAGAAGCAAAGTGGCTATGATGTTAGCGACCAGGATGCCAGTCAAGGAGGTTATGTCCAGCTCCACGCAGCTCTGGCACACTGTGGGAGAGGGGACCGAGGAGAGGGTGAGCATGTTCAAGGTCAGGGAACAGGATTGCTCATGTCAAAACCCCAACTTCAGAGAAAGGCCCCTGATGGATGGCCTTCCACAAGGTTTCAGTCTGGGGCCAGCTAGAACAACCAAGCTAGTCCCAACCAAACCCCTACCATGCAGGTCATAAGGCTCTCTTTGTTAAGCCCCCCTCATGCTGAAAACCCCCAAAACTAACTCCTACTTTGACCAGAGTGACCCAAACTTTTCTTTTGTTGGAGTCATACCTAACTATGCCTGGGGGCTACTCCCAGCTCAGTACTCATGGGTTTCCCCTGGTGTTTTCCCTGGGTTTCGGGGGACCATGTGGTGCCAAGGATTGAACCCAGGGCCTCACAGATGCAAGAAAAGTGTTTTGCCTCTGCGCCCCATCCCCAGCCCAGAGTGCCCCAGTCCAGTCCAACCTCAAAGTTCTCCAGTCTAGAGCCTGTGCTCCGGCCCCAAGGGTGCAGGAGTCACTTACTTCATTTTTGCTTTTTTTTTTTCTTTTTGGGTCACACCCGGCAATGCACAGGGGTTCCTCCTGGCTCTACGCTCAGGAATTACCCCTGGCGGTGCTCAGGGGACCATATGGGATGCTAGGAATCGAACCCAGGTTCACCGCTTGCAAGGCAAACGCCCTACCCGCTGTGCTATTGCTCCAGCCCTGAGTCACTTACTTCGATAGTAAATTTGCACTGTAACATTTTTTGAGGGCTCATCCTTCACGTTTTCTTCACACTGGTATATCCCCCGGGGATCCAGGATGCGCTTTCCCAAGTCCATTCTTTTGTTTTCTGACATATACACCCCCATGGCTCCCGCAATCCACTTGATGTCATTGTCACATCTCAGGTACACTTTGTCCTCAATTTCCTCCACAGTCATCTTGGAACGCGCTGAAGACAAAGACACCATTAGAGACGACTCTTTGGTCCACTCCTGGTTCTTGGCAGGCCAATGCTTCAGGAGGAACAACTTTCTAGTCTGGGACAGTTGATGGTTTCCAGAGAGGGAGGGAGGCAGGGAGAGGTAACGGGAGAAGGAAGGACACGAGGGTACCACACAAGCAGGGCAGGCACCCCAAGGAACAGGGAGCAGAGAGGAAAGCCTGACGCACAAACCCTCCTAGAAATAAATTTCTACCACTGGTCCACATAGCCAGGGAGTTTAGATACCGCAGCTCAGGATACAGGGAAGGTAGAGGACTGTCCACGCCTTGGAGAGATCTACATTTCTCCTCCTCAAAACTACCCGTTGCCAGCCTCCAAGATTACTCCAGCTTCACTCCTCACCCTTTGCTTTGCCACCCCCCCAACCCTCTCCCTATCAACTACCAAGGGAATAAAGCTTCCCACCACAAAGCCTTCTCAGGATCCACACTGCTTGGCAGCGGGGAGAAGCTGGGGTGAAGGACCCATCCAGAGTTCAAGCAGGGAACCCAGGGCCAACCGCGGAGTTAAGTGTTGGTTGTTCTATCCTCGTGTCAGGAACAGGAGTTAGGAAACAAAGAGAAAAGGATCCAGCCCATACTTGGGGCTCACCCCACTCAAGGTTGTGTAAGGGTTGGAACCTTGCCCGGTGCCTTCCTAGAGTCACTGAATTGTTCAAATTGAGAGCATTTCCACAGCGCATGGAACCTGTGTCGTTGATAGCAGGGACAAGTGGAAGCTAGGGATGTAACTCGGCAGAAGAGTACTCACATTACATGCATGAGGCCCTGAGTTTGAACCGCCAACGCCACTCCCACACACAAACACAGAATCTTCTCCTGAGCTTCAGTGACCAGCAATATCTCCCCTCGCCCCTGCTCCACCAATTGCTGCTTCTCATGCCTCAGAGGCAGGTTAAGAGCCCTTATGATGTCCATTCCTGCTTCACTCCAGCCTTCTGGCCGGTCTGACCCATACTGGCGGCTAGTGGGGAGGTTCTAGGTGGTGAGACTCTCCATTTGAAAACTACGTCAAGCAGGATGAGTTGGGGTCTGACCACCCTAAATCTGAGCTTCTTCCCGGCTTTCCCTGGCTCCTGGTGGGGACTTTCAGGCTGACCCCAACGCCCAGAGGCCTGGACTGCAAATGCCAGTGCCCTCCAGGGAATTGTCGCCCCATCCTGGCCCTAGGCCCAGGCTCCCCCATCACCCCCATTCCCTACAGAATGATCAAAGATTTTCCAGGCACCATTCAAGCTGAATTGCACCCCGCTACTGGTGCTAGACTAGCCCAGAGTTTTCACACCAGCTCCCCAAGTCCTCCTGAACCTTGTTCGGGGAACGGAAGCTAGTGTGGAAAGGACTCGAGGGGCTCAGGACCCTGCATGGGATGACAATGTCCTCCCCAAGGCCCTTTTCCAAGACTTTCCCCCCTGCCCCAGAAACCTACCTTGGGAGAGAAGGGAAGCCAGCAGCAGGCCAGCCAGAGCCCTGCAGAGGCCCATCTTTCCGCTGAGTGCTACCTCCCACAACCAGGGTGCCGGAAGAAGCCTTCAAAGGTTGGGTGAGGGGTGGGGCTGAAGCACCTTGCTGCCACTTTTTTTTTTTATTGACTTACCATGAGCAACATTTAAAGAGCTTTCCTGTTTGAGTTTCAGTCATACAATGATGTAAACACCCATCCCTCCACCAGTGTACATTTTCTACCACCAATGTCCCCAATATCCCCCACCCACCCACCCCTCCCCCTGCCTCTATGGCAGACAATTTCCCCTACACTCTCTCTACTTTTGGGCATCATGGTTTCTTGCTGCCACTTTCAGGGCAGAGGTGGCAGAGAGGGTGGGATGGGAGCAAGTGCAAAGGGTTCTTTCTCTGAGCGAGGGGTGCCATGGGAGTGAAGGCAGGGTAAGTAAGGGAAGGGCTGCCTGAAGCCCTGGGAAAGCTAAGGAGGGTCAGGGTGACCTTTCCTGGTCACAGAGAAAACTCCATCACTTGGGAGATCCTGTCAACAGCACCCACCACTGTTTTCACTGCATCACTGTATCACTGTCATTCCGTTGCTCATCAATTGCTCGAGCAGGCCCCAGTAATGTCTCCGTTGGTCCCTGTCACGTGCTAGTGTAGCCCGATGGTGTCTGCTCCCTTCAGAAACATGAAGAGCATGTTGTTGTTACTGTTTTTTGGCGTATTGAGTACGTCACAGGTAGCTTGCCAGGCGAAGAACTCACTGTTATTCACCACCGGAAAATCATCCCTCGCGACCTGGAGTGCAGCTGGAAGAGTAGCAACTTCACCTCAGCAGCTTGGCACAGTCATAGAAGCTGCTGCCCCCCAGTGGGATAACTAAGGGAAGGGCTCAGAGGGGCTTAGGAGGCCCTCACAGGGCCCGCAGGGAGCTCTGTGGACAGGGCCACATGCTGGGCAGGTACAGACCTTTGTGGCTTCCCCAGCAGCACTGGGTGTGGCCCAAGGCCCTGGAGCCCCTCAGGTGTCCCCAACAAGTCGGCAGCACTTCCATGTCCTCAGCCATAGCAGTGAACCGCCACCTCGTGGGCTGAGCACCACCAGGAGTGAGTGGTCCCCGGGTCCCCCTAAGCACTTAATCACTTGATCACTTGACTTCCCGTTACTCATCAATTTGCTCGAGCGGGTGCCAATAACATCTCCATTCGTCTCTGTCACGTGCTAGTGTAGCCCAATGGCGTCTGTTCGTTCTAGGAACATGAAGAATCTCAAACTGATCGTTCAGGGTCTTGACGAAGAAGTCTGACCATCTTGTAGGTGGGCGGTCACGCGGTCTTTTGACATCCCATGGAATCCAGTCGGTAGCGGCTCTAGTCCAGTGGTCATCTCCAAATCTCATTACATGTCCAGCCCATCTGATTTTCGATGCCTTGGCAAACGAGACAGCATCCCTGATTCTTGACCGTTGATGGAGGTCGGAACTCCAGGAGCTTCTGAGAGTGTCCTGCCTGCACAGCAGAGCCTGGAAAGCTATCTGTGGCATATTCAATATGCCAAAACCAGTAAATACAATGGGTCTCATTCCCCTGACCCTGAAGGAGTCATTCCCCTTAAGCACCACTCAAAAAAAAAAAAGCATACTATTAGTCTCTTCCCTGGCCAGTGACAGAATTCCCAAGTTGATGCCCCTAGACACCATTATAGGCTTGAACCCTTTTGTGGTCCAAGGGAACCCAACACTGGGGCAGGTCCCCCCTGAAAATAGAGGAGGTGCATGAAGCAATTGCTTCTGTGGCTCTAAGCCGTGACATGCACCTGAGATGTGACAAGAGTCTTGAAGGTATTTTTCCCCCCACCCACTGACTGAGGGAGATGGGGCCTGAGCCCCTGAGAAAGCCTGAATGTGGGGGTGGAATTGCTGCTCCCAGTCCCTTCCAGACGGGCATCTCTTTGACATCCTCATCTCCAAAATAACAGTAAAAATGTCTCGAATGAAGGCTTGGGCTGAGGGGACTGTCCAGTCAGAGGTCCAGCCCTGAACATCCCAGTCAAGTCACTGATTCTAGGCACAACTAGCCATGAGTCACAAGAGGCTGAGAGCCTGTGGTAAGTGGAGACGATTCTCTCTCTCACGAAGGGGACCCAGACCATCGCCCCACCCCTCGGCACCCACAGAGTTTCGGTATAAACCACTCTCTGAGAAGAGAAACACGCTCTCCCCGCTGCAACATGCCCCACCCTCCACCCCTCAACGAAAAAGCCAGAAACATCTGCAGCAGCAACGGTGCCAAGGCCCCGCTGCCTACACTTGAAGCGGGGGTGGAGGCTGTGGGTTCCGGCCTCCTTCCTGGGGGGTGCTGGGCGGGGCTGGGCTAGTGGAGGGGTGGGGGGAGGTGCTGGTGGGGTGCTGGGGCATGCAGTGCTCCCGTCGGCAAGACAGAGGCCGACATGGAGCGGTTCAAGGGCCTAGACAGCCTCCTCCTGGCTCTCACTCTTCTTCAAGGTAAGTGTCTTCAAGGCTAGGGGTCTGGCAGCCTAGGGAAGGGCTCAAAGGAATGAGGTCCTGACCAGGGAGAGAGAATTTAGGGGATTCCTAACCTCAACCCTTCCCCAGCTGTCCCCTTAGAGTTAAGAAAAGTCGGGGCTGGAGCAATAGCACAGCAGGTGGGGTGTTTGCCTCGCACAACTTTAATAGGCTTGAACTGGGTTCGATTCCCAGCATCCAATCTGGTCCCCCAAGCACTGCCAGGAGTAATTGTTGTGCATTGCCGGGTGTGACCCCCCAAAAAAAGAAAAAAGAAAAGTCACAAACGAAGACCAACCCCTACCCTGACTCTAAGATTGAGAGACAGCATCCTCGCAGGGTCCTGACAAATTCAAAACTGAGGACCTGACAGATGAGAGAGAACACCAGGGGCCACCATCTTAGGTCTGTACACAAGCCGGGAAGGCACAGGCCGGGAGGCGGAAAAGAACAGCTCTGTACTCCTAAACTCAGAACTGGGGTAGGAAGGACATTGAGGACGAGGGCCAGAAAGGTGGATATGGCATTTTTGTCTTGCATGCAGCTGACCCACATTCCACCCCCAGTACCTCCTATAGTCCCTGAACCCAGCCAGATCACAGCCAAGCGTGGCCCAAGAACAAAACCCAGAGGGTGTGGATGAAGCTTTCACTTCTCCAGGGGGTCAGTTGTTCAGTTGGCCCCTAACTATGGGAGAGATGTCACTGTGTCATGGGGGAGGAGGAAATAAAAATAAGTTGAGCCATTCTGCCCTAAGGAGCTCCTAGTCTAATCAAAGCTACAGGGTTCATTATTGCTGGGAGAGATTAGGGTGAAATTCAGAGTGCCTGTCTGGATATTCAGCTAGAAATAATCACCTAGAGTGGAGAAACGGGACTAGAGGAATGTGGTTCTCCAGACCAGGGTAAGTCAAGTCTATGAAAGTTGTTGAACTCATAAACGTGTTTTGTAAAAGAAGAGGAAGTGGTTGCTAAGGATGGAACTGTGAGGAGACCCACCTTGAAGGGGCACTTAGAGAAAAAGCTCCCCAGAGAAGAGATCAGGAAATGACCTATAATTTTGAAAAATCTCATGTGTGCAATATCCTGGGGACCAAAGGGGTGGAGAGTTTCTAGAAGGAATCCTCAGGAGAACATAGTGTGATAAATATGCATTAATAGTGGAGTTCATGCCCAATTCAATCAGCCTAATCAGTGGCTGAATAAATAGCAGTACTCCTACATTAAATAAATAAATAAATAAAAATGCGTTAATGTGAGAATATATCCAGAGCTGGAACTATAGCACAGCGGGTAGGGCGTTTGTCTTGCACAAGGCCAACCCAGCTGACCCAGGTTCGATTCCTCTGCCCCTCTCAGAGAGCCCGGCAAGCTACCGAGAGTATCTTGCCCACACGGCAAAGCCTGGCAAGCTACCCATGACGTATTTGATATGCCAAACACAGTAACAAGTGTCACAATGGAGACATTACTGGGCCCGCTCGAGCAAAACAATAATAACAAAAGAAAATGACTGGGCTAGGGAGATAGTACAAAGGGTAAGGCTCTTGCCTTGCATCCAGCTGACCTGGGTTCATTCATGACATTCCATATGGTCCCCTGAGCACTGTCAGAAGTGATTCAGAGCAAAGAGTAACCCTTGAGTGTTGCCAGATGTGGCCCAAATACAAAAAAAAAAAAAAAAGTAGAGTGAAGGGAAAGATGAAGAACAGCAAGTGTAAGGCCAGAGACACAGCATAACACAGCATCCTGATAGGATGTTTGATTTGCACACAGGTGACCTGTGTTCAACCCCAGAACTGCAGTTGGTGTCCCAAACCCTGCCCTCTGTGATTCCCGAGCACTCCGGGTGTGGCCCCAGAACAAAAGCAAAATAAAAAAAAAAAAAGCAAGTGTAGACAATTCTTTAAAGAAAATTGGATGATAAGGAAGAGAGATTAAATGATAACAGTGGGAGAAGTAAAGTTTCAGAAGCAATCCTTCTGTGTGTGAAGGACACTGGGGACGTTCCTAGGGAGAGGCCCGGGCAGAGCACAGCAGATAGAGTCAAGAGCAGGCTTGGAGCCAGGGAGATGGAGCTTTGCAGACGGGAGCTCTGGATTCAATCCTCCTGGTGCCCCAAACCACGGCCATGAATTATCCCTGAGCACTAAGCCTAGAGCAGCCTCTCTCTGGTGAAAGCCATTCTTTCTACCCAGAATGCCTCTCTCTGGACAACTCCTATTCATTCTTCAATGCCCAGCTAAGAATTACCTTCTCTGCGACCTTTTCCTGTCCCTCACCCTTGGGCAAAATGCACTTTTCATGTGCGTTCATGTGAGAACAATTTAAGTGGAGTTAATCACCTGGGTTTATTTTTTCCCCTTCATTGTAAACTCTTTGGCATAGCGACTAGTTCTTATCTCAATATCCTTTCTTCCAAATGTTCGGATTAAACCCAGGGACATTAGACTACCCTCCCTGAGCTCAAAGTTCTAATTCTCCAACCACATGTTTGATTTTAGCCAACCGTATCCTGAGTCAGCTACCTCAGAGTCAAGGGTCAGGGCGCACCAAAACACAGGCACTCATTTTACTCATGACATTCCAAGGATTAGATATTTCTTTCTAGAGCCTGGAGGGGGGGGGGGGGACAGAGCTCAGACTCCTCCTCCTTCTGCCTTGTATGGAGGGGACCCTGGTTTCCAGCTCTGATATCACCAAAAAAATAAATAAATAAAAGAAATACAACCATCACCTAAAAGTCTAAGACAAAGACCAGTGAAGTTCTTTGTATAGGGCACCCTAAATTCAACCTTTTCCATGATTTAGGCTACTATCCAGGGGTCTCCGTTGAGATGCTATCTATCTGTGGGTTGAAGCCTCTCTTCCTCTTGATCTCTAATAACCAGGGAAATAATATTTTTTTTAAATTCAGGAGTCTGGGACCAGAGCGATAGTTCAGCGGGTAGGGCATTTGCCTTGCATGTGGCTGACCTAAGTTCCATCCCGGCATCCCATATGGTCCCCCAGCACTGCCAGCAGTAATTCCTGAGTGCAGAGCCAGGAGAAACCCCTGAGCATCTCTGGGTGTGACCCAAAAAAAGAAAAAAATATTCAGGGATCAGAGAAATAATACAGAATGTAAGGCACTCACCTTTCATGCAGCCAACTCAGGTTCGACCCTCAGTGCCTTGTATGGTTCCCTGAGCACTACCAGGAGTGATTCTTGTATGCAGAGTCAGGAGTAAGCTCTGAACATCAGTAGTTGTGGCCCCAAAATAAACAAATAAACAAAAAAAATCCAGGGTCTTGAGAGATAGCTTGACATACTAAGAGCATGTTTTGCATACAGGAGGTCTGGGTTTCATCCTCTCTACCACATGGTCCCCATAATACCACCAAAGTAATCCCTGAGCACAGAACTGGGAGTAGCCACTAAGCATCTCCAGGTATGGCCCCAAATAAAGCAAACCAAAAACTTCAAGTGGCAGTGGAGAGAGAACAAAGAACTAGAGTGTATCTTTTGCCTGTGGGAGACTTGGGTTTGTTTGACCACCAACATTTCATGGTTCCCAAATATCACCAGAAATAGCCCCTAAGTCTGTCGAATGTGACCCAAAACCAAGAACAATTCAAGGGGTTGGGGATGAAGTGCAATGATAAAGTGGATACTTTGTGTGTCTGAGGTCCTGGACTTGAGAGAAAATGAAGAAAAGAAAGAAAAGAAAGTTTTATTTTATTTTATTTTTTGTTTCATTTTTGGGCCACAACCTGCTGTACTCAGGACTTACTCCTGGCTCTGTGTTCAGGGATCACTCCTGGCAGTGTTTAGGGGACCATATGGGGTGCTTGGGATTGAACCCGGGTCAGCCATGTGCAAGGTAAGTGTGCTACCTGCTGTACTATCACTCCAGCCCCAGGGAAAAGGTTTTAAAAGAAATTCATCAAATAAATTTAGAGATCCAATTGATCTTATTAAATGATTTGCAGATCAGAGAATTAACATCCACCTAGCAAGTAAAAGGGTGCCAAAACGAAAGTTTGTGTTTTTTTTGTTGTTGGTATTTTTTTTTTTATAATCAGAAAAAGAATGGAGTGGAACACGGCTATTAGCCAAAAAAGCAGAAAGATCATTTTAGACAAAGTCACATTCCCTCAAAGAAGACAGGTGACCCAAAGTAGTCCACCTCACTGTTCCCAGCCAGGGATCCAAGATTACTGGGTTCATAAGTCTTTTTGGGGGGGGACAAGTTAAAACTGCAGTGAGGTCAGATACCATCGTAGTGGGGCCACAGAACGCCTTTGGGCACCTGTGCTTTGTGCTTCTTTGATGCCCAAGACCTTCTGAGCGTCCCGTGACCCGCTGACCTGTATCTCTCTGTCTCTGCAGGAGCAATGGCCGAGCAGACACAAGGTATGGGAAATGGCTGCTTTCTGTTCTCCAACTGAGGACGATCTGGGAAATGGACCAGTCATCCTACAGGAGCGAGTGAAGAACCAAGAAGGGTTGTAGGGCGGGTGGTTCCATGATCAGTGGGCACGTCAGCCTCTGGGCACTTCTCATAGGAAGTCATTCATTTCCTGGTTCTTCCAGGACCAACAAGCCACTAGGCATTATTCAAAGTGCAATCCCTCGCATCTCCCTGGAATGGGTGAGAGATGGAATCTCAACCCACCCATATGTACCGACTGGACCGTGAACATCCCACTATCTTCCCACAGGACCGGGGCAAGGACCACAGTCCTGGGCTTCCCCTAATGCCCTCTAGAGTCTGGAAAATTTCAGAGGAAGCATCTTTCATGGCCTTGACTTTTCTCTTTCTAGGTAACTTGGTAGAAGTGGTCAATCAAGAAGATGGTTCAGTGGTTCTGATTTGTCAACTGAAAGACAAAACTATCACCTGGCATAAAAATGGGCAGCCTATCAACTCGCAGACTACAAACAAGTGGAACTTGGGAAGTAATACAAAGGACCATCGAGGGCTGTATTACTGCAAGGGACAAAAGGACACTTCAAACAAAATCCAGCTGCATTATAGAAGTACGTCTATTGGTTTGCTTCTTGTGAAATGAGAATGGACTTAACATCCTGGGGAACTTTCCGTTGGGTTGATCTCACCTCTTTTTGTGTTTAACAAAACATCTGCATGGGGGGGCGGGGGAGGGATTTGAGTGGAGGGGAGCACCTAGGCATTTGAAACAATGAGTCATTTTCTTAAGTCTGAGCTGAATAGAGAAGAAACTACAGTAAATAACAACAAAATGTAGGTGGTAGCAGAGCTTGGGGGGAGGAGGTCTGGTCTTCCTTCTGTTTCAGGGAGTTCCCGGGAATAAGACTACATGGGCTGGGCCAGAGAGACAGTACAGCAGGTAGGGTGCTTACCCTGGTACCCCACATGCACTATGTCAGGAGTGATCCCTGAGCACCATTGCATGTGGCCCCAAAACAAAACAAAAGATAGCATGGACTTTCCTAAGATGCCTAGGAAACAAAGGAACGCTTAGAATTATTTCATGATTAGTCCAAGGATCTGCCCAGGCTCTTCCTTTGCCATATTAGTTCCAGAGAGAGGAATCAGCTGCCCAGCCAAGTCACTGAAAAGATGCAAATCAGGGCCTGTGAAATAGCTCAAGTGTAGAACAAATTCCTAGTATGTGTGAGACCCCAAGTTTGAGCCCTAATGCCACTACATTAACCTCCAGCATTTGTACCACAATCCTCCACACCACCTGCCAAGGTGCCCCCATGCTCCCTAGCATCCCTGGGCAATGTTCCCTATAAAATAAAGAAACTCAAGACAACTTCCAGATGCTGACAGAGGCTTGTTCCTTCCTCTCCCCATTTAGTGTGTCAGAACTGCATTGAGATAAGTGCAGCTAATGTCGTTGGCTTTATCTTGGCTGAAGTCATCAGCATTCTCCTCCTCGCTGTCGGTGTCTATGCCATTGCTGGGCAAGATGGAGTTCGCCAGTCACGAGGTAAAAGAATGTTCTTAGAATCAAGATGAGACCACCTATGACCCTCAGCTTCCTTTCTATCAAAATGGACCCAGTAGAAGAAGCTGAGTTGGCCTGTGTAGTGAATTCACAGTTGAGTAAGACATGTAGGCAGGAGAAAAAGACCCTTGAGGATTTCACACTGATGTAGGTGGGCCCCCACGGGCAGCTTATGTGAGTCAGAGAGGAGAGAGATGGTCACTTTCTCCTGATCTACCTCTGCCATCCCTGGACCGGCTGGAAGATTCTTTACAGGAAAGGAAGACCAGTCCTCGGCCTTACCCATCCTATACAGGTCTTTGTCTTACCTCACAGAAAAGAATTTCAGGAGGAGATGAGCAGGGAAGTAAAAACAGATTTCATTTGGAGGTTTTAGGGAAAGGGAAGGAGGGAGGGAAAAAGGAAGAGAGGGTAACACAACCAAGAGAGAACAGGGGTTTCTCCAAAGACAAAGAGTGCCCCATTATACATCACAAGACAAGCACCACATGTGCTCGGCCACATGGGGCACAAGCAGCACATGGGCTCAGGCAGTATGTGCACTCTCTGTCTTTGTTCAAGGTGCTTTTATAGGGTTTTTCCCAAGCTGCCCCATGAGAGGTTTGCTAGCTAGTGAGAATCTGTTGCTAGGGTAATTGCCAAGGGAGTAGAGTTGGGAGTAGTCGATGATCCTCTTTGCAATACCTTTCCTGGATTTTGTTCCTGCTCAAGGTTTGGAGGGGCATCCAACCTTCTCTGGGTCTGATGGTGCCAGGTGAAGTCTTATCAGACCTTCCTTAGTTCACAAGACTTGAGACTTGGTTTTATTACTTCCTAGGAATTCTATTACCATGAGGGCACTTCCCTGCCTATATCAACACTTTACTTATCAGTCTTACCATCCAACTCCCAGGAAGTAGATATAGTACAGAGTAAAGAGCCTGCCTGGCATGGGTGAGGCCCAGGGTTCAAGCCCCGGCACCACACACAAATGCAAACCCAATTCCCTTTGACTTTTCCTCTTTGGTTTTTGTGGGTATTTTTTGTTGAGGGGATTCATGAGCAGTGTTAAGAGATCCCTGGGGTCACTACTGGTAATACTTGGCCAACCTAGTCAAAATGTTTGGGTCAGCAATGAGGAGTAGTTCAGCCTAGCAATTCTGGGGACTACCAGGGCCACACTGAGCAGTGCTGTGCTACATCCAGGGATTCTGGGAGTGGGGGATGCATGTGGTATCTGGGTTCAAACTCAACTCTCAGAGCATGCCAGGCCCCAGATATTTGAGATCTTCCCCCCAGGGCCTGTCTTCTTTGTATTTTAAAAACTGTATTGCTATCTACAAATAGAAACATAGATGAATCATATGTTCATAAATAAATTTTGGGGGAGCTGGAGTTATAGTACAGTGGGTAAGGCATTTTTCTTGCAGGTGCCAGACCCAGGTTTGATCTCCGGCATCTCATACGGTCTCTAAACCTGTCAGGAGTGATCCCTGAGAGCAGAACGAGGAGTAACCCTTAACACCCTGGGTGTTCCCCCAAAATAAAAACAAAAGCGAAGTTTGCTTTTTTTAAAATTAGGGGTCTCCTCGGAGCTTTTTGGAAAGCCAGGTATGAGCCGGTCGTGACAGGGCGACTGAAACCTCATGGGAAGGGGGGGCGTTCCTGGCTCCTCCTTCACACCCTACCGAGGTCACGAGTTGCCCCCCATGAGCGGCTCTCCGGCACAGCCATGGCTCTAGAGCCACAGAAACCAATCTTATAATTATCTGACTCTTGGCAGAAATACTTCCAGGCTTAATAAGTAAAATATCAGAAATCCAAAATTTGGATTTTGGACATCATTTGGTTCTTGTAACCAGCTGTAGAAAACAAATTACTTCACAATGCCTTTTCAGCAGGTCTGATTTTGGGGTGTAAACTCTAAATAATAATGGTGCATCTTTTGTCGAAACAATGAATCTAATCAAAGTAGATATAGTATTAACTAGAATTCATCTGCCTCACAGGCATTGGGAGGGTTGGGGGGGGGGTATATTGGAGTTCTTGGTGGTAAAAAATAAGTACTGATGAAGGGAAATGTGTTTGATGATTGTGTGACCGAGACTTAAACCTGAAAGCTTTGTAACTTTTTCCACAGTGATTCAATAAATAATTAATTAAAAAGAAATATAAATAAATAAAATTAGGGGTCAGAGAGGCTGGAGTGATATCACAGTGGGTGGGGCATTTGCCTTGCACACGGCTGACCCGGGTTTGATTCCCAGCATCCCATATGATCCCCTGAGCATGGCCAGAAGTAATTCCTGAGTGCAGAGCCAGGAGTAACCCCTGTGCATCGCCGGGTGTGACCCATAAATTAAAAAAAAGAAAAATTAGGGGTCAGAGTGATATAGTACAGAGGGTAGGGCACTTGCCTTATATGCAGCCAATCTGAGTTCAATCTCTGTAGTATCCCATACGGCCAGGAATGATCCCTGAGTGTGGAATCAGGAATCCCCCCTCGAGCACTGCTGGGAGGCCCAAAATAAACTAATCAATTAATTTTAAATTATTTTTAAATTTTTTAAATTAATTTTTTAAATTAATTTTTTATTGGGCTGGAGCGATAGCACAGCGGTAGGGCGTTCACCTTACACGCGGCCAACATGGCCAACCCAAGTTCGATTCCTCCGCCCCTCTCGGAGAGCCCGGCAAGCTACCGAGAGTATTGGATATGCCAGACACAGTAACAACAAAGTCTCCAATGGAGACGTTACTGGGCCCGCTCGAGCAAATCGACGATCAACGGGAGGACCAATTTTTTATTGATGGGGCTGGAGAGATAGAACAGTGGGGAATGTGTCTGTCTTGCATGCAGCTGACCTACGTTAGATCCCCAGCAACCCATATTGTCTCCCAACCCTCTCCAAGAGTAATCCCAGAGCACAGAGCCAGATTAAGGCCTGAGCACCACTGGTGTGACCCACAAATAAAAACAAAACAAAGTGACAAAAGAAAGCAAACACACCCACGATTGCAGCACTCCGTTTAAGAAAGAAAAAATTCTCTAACACTCTAGAAGGCTCTCTTTGGTGACTTCTCACCTCTGCTATCCTCCCAAAGGAGCAGATGAGCACTAGACTAACTTCCAATAATATGGATTAATTTGGTCTACTTTTGTTCTGTGTGTGTGTGTGTGTGTGTGTGTGCGCGCGCGCGTGTATGTGTGCGTGTGTGTGTGTGCTTTTACTCCACAATGTGCATATGAGATCTGGCCCAGTTGTATGTAGATGTATTTCATAAATTCTTATTGTTATGTAGTACACTCCATTGTGTGACTATAATTCAAAAGATCATCCATGGGTGTTTTGTTTCTTTTCTCTGCAGCTTCCGACAAGCAGACACTGCTGTCCAATGACCAGCTCTACCAGGTAAGAGATGGGGAAAGAAATGCAGTGCCCACTAGTGGTGATAAACTGAAGGATTGAATGGGAGGAAGAGGAAGTCACTGGGAAGATACTAGGTGGATGAGGAACTGAGCATACAGATGCATGAAGGGTTAGCCCCAGGGGAAAGATGGATGCAATAGAAGGAAGAGTTGAGACGTACAGGGGTTCGGATCTCATGAGAGAAAATGGAGTATGTTAAGAGAGACAGAGAATCTAACACAGATCCTCCACCTGCCTTCTTTCTGTCCGTAAGACCACAAAGCAACCAAAGACGCATACAAAACAGTCACTCCACACATGTGCATCAAGTTAACTCATAAAGGAGGGGGGGCGATGAGCCAGTTGGTGACTGTGCTGTCCTCTGTAGCCACTCAGGGATCGGAGAGATGACCAATACGGCCAACTTCAAGGAAACCAGCACAATAAGAAATGAACTCAGGATCAGGGTAGGTATATAAACCTTTCCACACCAAGTCACAGAAAGCACCTCTGCATTATCTGTCTTTCTGAATTTTGCCCTGTCTCTTTTTTTTTTTTTAGGAAGGGGAAGAAGGAGCACACCCAACAGTGCTCAGGAATTACCAAGCTCTGCACTCAGGAATTACTCCTGGTAGTGCTCAGGAGATCATACGAGATGCTGGGGATCAAACCCACGTTGGCCACATGCAAGGCAAATGCCCTACCCACCATCCTATTGCTCCAGCCCTGACTTCTCTCCTGTCTGTCTCTTTCTCCCCAAGTAGCTATGAGGATAGACTGGAGTGAGTGGGAGGGGGTGCTAAGTATGGAGGCCCAGTGTCTAAAAGCACAGGAGTGATTCCTGACTTTTATAGCACTGTAGCACTGTCTTCCCTTTGTTTGTCGATTTGCTCAAGCGGGCACCAGTAACATCTCCATTGTGAGACTTGTTGTTATTGTTTTTGGCATATCGAATACACCACGGGGAGCTTGCCAGGCTCTTCGGTGAGGGCGGGATACTCTCGGTAACTTGCTGGACTCTCCAGGAGGGATGGAGGAATCGAACCCGTGTCAACTACGCAAGGCAAATGCCCTACCCGCTGTGCTATCATTCCAGCCCACTGACTTTTATAGGCCTAAGAAAATAGGAAAACTCAAATATATATATTTGTCTATATGTATGTATTACGTATATGCATATATATGAATATTATCTGTAAAGTATCACAGAACAGAGCACCAAAAAATAAAGAGATGTTAAATAAGAACCTTAATCTAAACAAGGATATCTCTACTTCTCAATATCCACACCATTAACATTTTTGGCCAGAGGGGCTGGAGAGATAGTACAGCTGGTAGGGCACTGGTAGGGTTTGATTCCTGGCACGCAATATGGTCTCCTGAGCCCTGCCAGAAATAATCACTGAACACATCTGAGTGTGGCCCCAAAATGTAAAACAGCAAGCCAAAAAGCATTTTGGCTAGAGGCCAAAGTGACAATACAGCAGGTAAGGTACTTGTCTTGCATCTGACTGACCCAGGTTGAATCCCTGGCATCCCATATGATCCCCTAAGCACCTACAGTAGTAATTCCTGAGTGCAGAGCCAGGAGTAAACCCTGAGCATAGCTGGGTGTGGCCCAACAACAAAACCAAAAAAAATCCACATTTTTGGCTAGGTAACGCTTTGTAGTAGAGGAAGCACCTCTGGCTTCTATCCATCAGATGCTGATAGCTCCACCTGGTTATGGCAACACCAGAGTTTTTCCAGGGTCAAACAGATCATATAGGGGGTAACATGCTTGCCCTGTACATGGCTAACCTTAGTTCAATCTCCAGCATTGAACATGGCCTATGAGCCCCACCAGGAACAATTCCTGAGAGTCAGAAATAAGCCTTGAGCACTGCTGGATGTGACCCCCAAACCAAACCAAAAAAAAAGGGAGAGTATTTTTTAGTTACTGTAAGATTTACCTAAAATCTTCCTAAATTAAAACCCACTGATTTATAGTAATTTTTCAATCAACCTATCACTCAGCAGAAGTTTCAGATAGATAACTGGGTCCAAGTATTTCATGTTCTGAACAATTACAGCTCTTCTTTTTCGATCCAGGTATTTTCCCTTCTAGCCATTTAAGAGAAATAAAGCAATGTACTCTGGAGCTCTACTCACAGAGATTTGCAGACCTCAATCCAGTTTAAAGGGTGTTTCACATGTTTCTCAACAAGTGAAGAAAAATTTGGGGTTTTGGATCACCTTGGATGGGAGATATGTGCTGAAAGTAGACCAAGGACCAAATATGATGGCCTCTTAGTATCTGTATTGCAAATCATAACGCCCAAAATTAGAGAGAAAGAAGGAATGTACCTGCCACAGAGGCAGGGGGTGGGATGGGGTGGAGGTGGCGGGAGGAACACTGGGAACAATGGAGGTGGAAAATGGGCACTGGTGGAGGGATGGGTGCTCGAGCATTGTATGACTGAAATGTAAACATGAAAGTTTGTAACTGTATCTCATGGTGATCCAATAAAATTTATTTTAAAAATTGGGGTTTTTTTGCCTGCCCTCCTCCCACAAATAAAGAAATAAAACCAGGTGTAGTGTTTCAAGAGTTCCACCTATGGGGAGGGACATTCTGTGTGAAAGAAAAATGGGAAGGTCCTGGGGATTCATTACATTTTTTTTAATAATGTAGGAGTACTGCTATTTGTTCAGCCATTGATTAAGCTGATTGAATTGGGCATGAACTCCACATTACTTTTTTATTTTATTGTATAACCATGAGATAGTTACAAAGCTTTCATGTTTGAGATTCAGCTATACAATGATGAAACCCATCCCTCTACCAGTGCACATTTTCCACCACCAATGTCCCAAGTATCACCCCCCTTCACATACATACACATCGCAGTCCTCCCCCTGTCTCTATGGCAGACAACTTCCCCAGTACTCTCTCTCTGATTTGGGGCATTAATTTTGCTCGAATTTTCCCATCACATTCAAGCCTACCTGCCAGGGGCAGACACTAGATAATGTATTTTCCATAGCTCATTTCGAATATCACAAGAGCTCACTCAGGTGCGATTGTAAATGTAAATTTCTAGATTGCAAATGGTTGGGTTCCAGAGACATCTCTGTATGGCACTATCCATTTTGGGATTCAATTGGGAGCCCTGGGCCAGGGATGTTGGTGCGCTAAACTGGCATTCAGAGGGAAATTGTGGGCATAACAGAGTCTTCTGGGCGGGCGATGACCCAGGGAGGGACAGCCCAGGTCCTCTGCCACTATGCGGTCTGGAGATTTAGTCCTGAACCCACATTACCTGGGCCTTGCTTTGAAAGCTCTTGGTCACCGGGATTCCATCAGGAGTAGGCGGGGAGACTGCACCTGTTCCATCTGGGGTGTCCCAGTGATATTGGCTTGGTATGGGGCCTGGAGAGATCTCTGGCACTGTGGTGTCTTCTGGAACTTGCTGCTGTGTCTCTGGGCTAGGGCTATTGGTGTGCTAAGATGGTGCCTGGGGGCTAATTGTGGAGATGACAGCCATTCTTCTGAGCAAGGAGGAACCCGGGAGGGACAGCCCAGGTCCTCTGCTGCCATGAGGCCTGGAGATGTAGTCCTGGAACCTGCATAGCTGGGCCTTGCTTGTGGAAGCTGTTGGTCACCAGGATTCCATTTGGAGTAGGCAGGGAGATTGCACCTGCTCCATCTGGTGTGTCCCAGTGATATTGGCTCGGTATGGGGCCCAAAGAGATCTTTGGCACTGTGTTATCTTCCGGGACTTGCTGCTTTATCTCTGGGCAGGGCTGTTGGTGCGCTAAGATCCACATTACAAAAATTTCAGCAGATTATATCTTGGTGAGGTCCATCCTAAGTCAGTGGAGTCAGGCTTGGGGTATGGCAGAAATTTTGGATTGTGGAAGCAAGTGGCTGCCATGGACTCTGCTTGGGTGGGCACAGGCCAACCCGCTCCCTCCAATTTACTCGACTGTTCAGCCATGAATGGGTCTGAGCTTAACTGCGGCTTTTGATCTCTTTCGAGGTTTATTTAGGAGTCTCTGAGGCAAGGCCAATAGTAGAGTTTAAAGGGTGGCGCTGGAGTTGGTTCATGGGGGTGACTGCCAGTTCTTCCATTGGGAAGTGTATTGGGAAGTGGGGGAGATAACCCATCCCAACTCTGAGTGAGCTTGTATAGCTGAGCCAGAGGTGGTTTGTGGGTGTGACTCCCACATACCTAACTTTTGGCTGTTCAATTTCTTGTAAACTTGTTCCCAGGTTGTTAGGGTCTGGCCAAAGGCACAGCAGCAATTTTGGGGTATCAGGAAGCCTGAAGGCAACATCAGGCTGCTGATGCACTTGCCCCATAGGTACAGGTTGACCTGTTGGCGGCACCACATCCCCTTCATTACTTTTTTAAAGGTTTCATTTTTATTTAAATTCTAGTGGTTCAAATATGCAATGGAAGGTCTTCCTCCCCTTTTTTCCCAGTCACCCAGCTGCCCTCTCTTGAGACTAACAATAGAATTGTTTCCTATATAGTCTGGAGTGGTAGCACAGTGGTAGCACTTGCCTTGCATGCAGCCAACCCAGGTTTGATTTCTCTGCCCCTCTTGGAGAGCCCGGCAAGCTACCAAGAGTATCCCGCCCGCGCGGCAAAGCCTGGCAAGTTACCCGTGACATATTCAATATGTCAAAAACAGTAACAACAAGTCTCACAATGGAGACATTACTGGTGCCCGCTCGAGCAAATCAATGAGCAATGGGAGGACTGGACAGTGCTATAGTCTTCTAAGATAATAGGTATTATTACAGACCAAGAATCTTAGGCTACACAAGCAAAGTCTTAGATATACATTATTCTCCTTTCCCCTGTTTTCACACAGATGGTATTGTATATCTTGTCCTTTTGACCTAACAAAGCTTAAAGATTATTTTTCATGCCCGTACATGAAAAGCAGCTGTTATTATTTTTTTCAGTGCAGCCACATTGTACATATATATTGTAATTTATTTGTCTGGTTTTTATTGACAGTCATACTATAGTTTATCTACCAGTCTGCTATTGATAGATATTTAAGTTGGCTCCAATTTCTTGCTCTTACAATATTCCAATGACCTATCAGCAAGTAAATGTCATATTTTTTAAATTATGTCATTTACATGGCATAAAATGTACTCAAGAGATTTCACGTGTTTTTAGCAATTTTTAGCAAATAGTTCACTTTTTTTCACATTATGCTTTTCCTGTCATATTTAAGAAATATTTTTAATAATTATCACCACATAGTCAAGCTATAAGGGCATTTTTCTCTCACTCCCTTAAGATATTTTATTCTATTTATACTTTATTTTCTTTCGCAATTTCACTAACCACAAATCTCTTTATTGTCTCTTTAAGTCTGCCTTTCCTAGAAATTACATATAAATGAAATCATGTGATATGTTACTCTGAGCATTCTCATGCAAGTCTTTGTATAGACATGTCTTCATTTCTCTGGAGTTGATATCTGAAAGTACTGTTAGGTTGTATGATAAATTTACATTTAATGTTCGTGTGTGTGTGTGTGTTTTGCTTTTGGGGTCACACCCGGCGATGCACAGGGGTTACTCCTGGCTCTGCACTCAGGAATTACCCCTGGTGGTACTCAGGGGACCATATGGGATGCTAGGAATTGAACCCGGGTCGACCATGTGCAAGGCAAACGCCCTACCTTCTGTGCTATTGCTCCAGCCCCACATGTGTGTGTTTTGGGGCCACACACAGTGATGCTCAGGGCTTACTCCTGGCTCTGCACTCAGGAATCATTCCTGGCAGTGCTCAGGGGTCTATATGGGATCCTGGGGATAGAATCCAGGACAGCCACATACAAGGCAAACACTCTACTCACCTCTCCAGCCTCAAATTTATTGACTTTCTAAGAATATGCTGAAATATTCTCCGAACTGACCCTTTGTGTTGGGAAAATTGGAGACAATGATGGAGGGGAGGTGTAGTGGTGGTGGGATTGGTGTTGGAATATTGAATACCTGTAACAAATCATAAACAACTTTGTAAACCAGTATTTAAAGGGTAAGGAAAAATTGAGAAAATAAATTTTTTTAAAAAAACTGATCCTTTCATTTTACATTCCTACTAGCGATGGATGAGGATTCGTATTTCCTCATATCCTTAACAATTTTTTAACTGTTTTTTGAGTTCAGAGATTTGCAGAACATGACCTATATAAAAAAAAGTTCTCAAAAGGAGGCACACTCAGGAGTGATCCCTGAGCACAAAGCAAGGAGTAAACTTTGATCACCAAAGGATGTGATCCCAGAAGAAAAAGATCTCAAGAAAACAAAGGCATGCAAGAACAGAATGAATAGGAGTTGCAAAGGTCAATGTTGGTGCTGACAAAAAGATGTAAAAATCCTGCTGAAACTTTATGGTGATTATGCAGGTTTTTCACAGGAGTATTAACTTTTAATAAATAAACATGGGAACCAGAGCGACAATACAGCACGTAGACGTTTGCCTTGCACGGGGCTGATCCAGGTTCAATTCCCGGCATCCGGTATGGTTCCTGAGCAGTTCCTGAGCACAGCCAGGAGTCAACCCTGATCGTCTCCTGGTATGGCCCAAAACCCAGAAAAAAAATAAAGAAAATAAGCCCAATCAAAGATAGCACACTTGGGGCTGGAGTGATAACACAGCGGGCATTTGCCTTGCACGCGGCCGATCCGGGTTCGATTCCCAGCATCCCATATGGTCCCCTGCGCACCGCCAGGGGTAATTACTGAGTGCAAAGCCAGGAGTAACCCAATTCCTCGGCATCGCCAGGTGTGATCCAAAAAGAAAAAAAAAAATAGCATACTTAGCATACAGTCTAGCGCCTAGTAAGAATCCAATACTTTGAGCTACTCTAATTGCGGCTTCTGCTATTGTCACATCGGGGAGACTATTATAAGATTACATCATCTAATATTATGTAGGTTAATAATACAATCTATGAATAGTAACAGAAGCCACTTCAGAATGATATGGGTTGGACACCATAGAGGCAGAAGCCCACCAAGGTGGAGGGACGTGCTCCCGAAGCCAGAGCCGGGTCAGCCTCTACACACGGGTTTCCAAGGCCACAGTTCTGAGCTCCGCCCCCGCCCCGCCCCTCCCACAGCCAATCCACAGTCACTTCCGGCATCGCGCCCCGCCCCGGCCGGCTCGCGCCTGCGCCGTAGCAAGGAACGCGCCACTTCCCCGCGCCGGTCGGCTCCAGTCGGTTTCCGGCGCGCAGTTGAGGGTCCCGAGCCCCGGCGCTTAACACTGACGTAATCTCCGGTTGCCGTGCTGAGTCGGAAGTGGGAACCCTTCGGCCCCGGAGACTGTCGTGTCGCCGCTGCTGGCCCTCAGGTTCTGGTAAGAGAGGAACTAGCTGGCGGGGAGGGGTGGTGGAGCCGATGGGAACCATTTCCCCCTTCCTGTTCGGATGCCAGCCCCGTGCTCTGGACGCCCGTCTCTCCCAGATCCCCCCTCCGGTGCCTTCCCGACCACAGATGCTCTTCTGTGTGAACTTCGACCCGGTCAGCCTTGGGGACCCGTCCCGGTGCCCCCAGTACTGGGCCGCGACCCCGCGCGCCCCCGCCGAGCAGCCTCGTAGCAGGGGCGGGCCTGCCGGCATTGCATTGCCCCCGCCCTGGGTCTCCCTCCCTGCTGCCGATGCTTTCTGGCATCCGGGAGGAAGGCTTGAACGCCGACGGCCGACCGCGGCCGGACAGATGCCAGCGAGAAAAGCGAACCCGGGTCGCAGGGGCCCAGCCAGGGGTGAAGACCACGTGGCGAGGCGTTGACATCCGTGATGACACCCGTAAAGCGCCTCCCAGCCATCGGGCCCGGCGCCCTCAGCACCTGGACCGCGAAGCTCGTCCAGGCGTTGAGGTGCCTCAGCTCGGGAGCTTTGGTTGGATGAAGTCTTCCCTTTGGAAGCAGGGGTTCGCTCCCATATGTGTTTATTCACACTGCCAGGGCCTGGTTTTTGATTGTTTGGGGGCCACACCGGCCACTCTCCGAGCGCACTCCTGGTGCTGCAATCGGGGATCACTTCTGACGATCTTGGGGGACCATCTAGAGTGCCCGGGATCGAACCCGGGTCTCCCCTCTGCATGGCAAATGCCCTGCCGGTTCCGCTATCACTCCATCTCCACTGGGAACTGTTTTGCTTCCATATGAGAAGCCTCCTTTGGTGAGAGGGGACCAGGAAAAAAAAACGGTGATTGTTTTCTGACCTGATGAGCTCATTCTGGCTTGCTGATGGGTAGAAACGTTGCTCCAGTAGAGAGGCCTGAAAGAATTAGTATGGAGAACATACAACAATGGCAGGGGAACTTTTTAAATCCTATTTTGGTTGTGTGTGTGTGTGTGTATAGATATATATGTATACATATATATCGCTCTCCATTAGGATGCTTCGTTTCGACAATCTTAGTTTCGAGAAATACCAAAACACAACTCTCTGGCCTCATAACTTCACCTTCCACTACAACCCAAAACAAATCAGAGAGGGCCTGAGAGACTGTACAGCAGGTAGGGTGCTTATCCTTGCACACAGCCATCCTGGTTCGATCCCCTGCTCCCCATATGGTCGTCTGAGCTCCAGAAGTGATCAGAGCTAGGAGGAAGCACTGAGCACCACTGGATGTAGCCTGGAAAGAAAAAGAAATCCCTGGCCTTAAAGTAAGATTATGGATGTGGCTAGTGACCACAGGGAGGTCAGAAGTAACTATTGAATATTGATAACCATTGACTCATTCAGTATATTTTTAGGACTTCACATGGAGGTATATAATGTAAGACACAGAAGTAAAAATCATCAGATAGGCACCTCTACCCAGATTGTTTCCTATCTAGCTTGGTAGATCTGAATTAGGAATACAGTGTCATTGGTTATAACTAACACTTAACATAGATAAAATGAAATTGCTTCTTTGTATATGAAATAGCACGGTATTGAGAGAAATAAAGCCAGTGTATGAAGATAAGCCCGCTGTATCTCTTTTGTTTGTTTTGTCTTGGGGCCCTTTGCAGTGGTGCTCAGGTCTAACTTCCTGGCTCTGCACTCAGGAATCACGCCTGGTAAGCTCAGGAGACCACATGGGATGCCAGGGGTGGAATTCTGGTCAGCCACACACAAGGCAAGCGCCCATTTCTGCTGTACTGTCAGCTCTGACTCTGTCTTACTAGTCTTAAGATCTGCCTCTGGCACATGTTCTGTATTTCTGGCTTTCAGTTCCTTTCCCTCCTAGTTGATACAGGTGACATATCTTGTTTATACCGAGAGTATCTTGCCCACTGGCATGGCAAAGCCTGGCAAGCTACCCGTGACTTATTCGATATGCCAAACACAGTAACAAGTGTCACAATGGAGACGTTACTAGGCCTGCTCGAGCAAATCGATGAACAGTGAGAGGACAGTGACAGTGACTAATCTGAACTCTTTTCGGGTGTGTATCTGTTTTTGTTTGGGGGGGTTGGAGGCTATTCCCACCTTGGGGCTACTCCCAGCATGGTGCTCAGGGAACCCTGCAGATCATGCACAGCAGCCCATCGAGCGGTCTCCATGGCTCTTAGGTGTGTTTTTAAATCCGTTCCATGGGCTGAGCATATGCTTTGCATCCCAGAGGCCTAAACATTTCAACCCCAGCCCTTCACTGTACCGTGAGTACAGTAAGGAATGATCAATCCCTGAGTACTACCAGGTGTGGGCCCCCCAAAATAAAGCAACAGCAAAGTTGTTGTGAGAGAACATAGTTCTCTTGGGGGCCAGAGAGATAGTGCAGCGAGTAGGGCACTTGGCTTGTAAGCAGCCGGCCCAGTTCCATCCCCATCACCCTAAGTACCGCCATGATGATCCCTGAGCACAGAGCCAGGAGTAAGCCCTGAGCACTGCTGGGTGGAGCCAAAAAAGAGTTCCCTTTTCTGTGGATTTAGCTAGAGCTGGTGTTCATTTATTCCTCCAGCTCTTAAATATGGTCCTATGCTCCCTCAGTCAGCCAGCCTGTAGGGTCCTATGCCCACTCTGAGTCAGCCACATGGCCAAGAATGCTGTTTACTTTTTGGCCAGACCAGTGTCACATACCCTTCCCTGGTGCAGCAGAATGGCAGTGGGATGGCTTCCGAGCAGAAAAATGTACAGTGTTAGAGCCGGTAGTTATAGCAGGTGGATGCTTACCTTGCATGTGGCCAACACAAGTTCGAGCCCCAGCATACCACACGGTACCCCAAGCCCACTAGGAGTGATTCCTGAGCACAGCCGGGTATGGTCCAGAAACCAAAAGAGAAAAATAATGGGATATCATGTTGAGAGAAGAGGACAATATTTTGGAAAACGAGAACTAACTTCACTTTGAGAATTCCTCTGGCTTGTTGGCCCCTCCCAGCAGCAGGAGGGTGGTGGTGAGTCACCTAGACACGTAGAAGATGAACTTCTGTGTGGTTAGATGGGGAGAACATTCTCCCAAGGGTTATTGCCCATTGCAACACTAAATATGCATGGATGCACCTGCGTGCTTTCTCTCTCTTTTGTGTTACTAGGCTCAACTAAACTATACATAGCAAACTATTAAGTACTTAGAGCAGCATCGGAACTTAGAGTTCCATCCTCCCAGCAGTCAGGTCCAGTTCCTTACTAAGACTAGCTGGTCTGCCTAAGTCATCACAGACAATTAGCCATTAATTCTCACCAGAAACTGCTGCAGAGGGGCCAGTGTGATAGCACAGCGGGTAGAGTGCCTGCCTTGCTCACAGCTGACACAGGTTCAATTCCCAGAAATTCTATATCATCCCCTGTGCCCACTGTATAGAGCCAGCAGAAAGCTCAGAGCACTGCCAGGTAGGTATTCCCCCCTCACTGCCTCCCCTTCCCCCCCCCCAAAAAAAAAGAAGAAGAAAAACTGCTACAGAGGATGATGAAGCAATAGAATGGTCAGAATGGTCAAGAAGGGCCAGAGAGATAGTACAGCAGGTAATGCCCGTGCTTTGCACATGGCTGACCAGGGTTCAATTCCCAGCATCCCATTTGGTCCCCAAAGCACCACCAGGAGTGATTCCTGAGTGCAGGATGCAGAGCCAGAAGTCCAGAAGTAACCTCTGAGTATCCCCAGTTGTGGCAAAAAATTTTTTTAAAAATTGTAAAGAAGTATTATAGGCCCTTCTGGAGCTGGAACAATAACAGTCCAGCTGGTGAGCGCTTGCCTTGTACGCAGCTGACCCGAGTTTGATCCCTGGCATCCTATCCAATCCCCCAAGCACTGCCAGGAGTAACCCCTCAGCATCACTGGGCATGGCCCAAAAACAAATCAAAAAAAGAATAAATAAAATGTAATAAATATATCCAGCCACTCGCCACTGCACCTGCCCCTTCTCCGTTGGCTGGTCAGCCCAATGGGGTGGTGAGGGTCAACCCCAGCTCAGGATGCAGGGCTGTTCTTCACGGGGCTGGCTGTGTCGGGAGCATGGGAACAGCCTGAGTGGACGAGGGGTTTAGTCTCAGGTTCACTCTGGTTGGGTGGTGGGGCAAACTTGCCAGTTTATCTTTCCCACAGAAAACAAGTAAATCCAGTTTAAGAATAAAACGTGTTTGGGGCTGGAGCAACAGCACAAAGGGTAGGGCGTTTGCCTTGCACACAGCCGACCCGGGTTTGATTCCCAGCATCCATGTGGTCCCTTGAGCACCGCCAGGAGTGATTCCTGAGTGCATGAGCCAAGAGTAACCCCTGTGCATTGCTGGGTGTGACCCAAAAAGCAAAAAAATAAAATAAAATGTGTTTGAGAAACGGTGAAGAACCAGCTTGGATCTGTTGCCTGTTACCAGCCGCATCTAACCTTTGCCCTTTCTCTAGCCCCTCCCTCTAGGTCTGGATGGAGGATACGTTACAGTGAAATGACAGACCAGGAGAATAACAACAACATCTCAAGTAACCCCTTTGCTGCTCTCTTTGGCTCTCTGGCTGATGCCAAGCAGTTTGCAGCAATCCAGAAAGAGCAGCTGAAGCATCAGTCCGGTAAGCGGAGCAGCCTGCGTAGGGGCCCAGCTGCCTGCCCCCGTCTCCCCTGCTTCCCCCATTACCGCTTCTGGGGGGTCTTGGCTGTGGGTGGGGTTTAAAATTGGAGGACACGCTGCTTTTATTGTGTTCGTTGAGGACAGAGTAACTTTTTGTTTGTCTGGGGGTCTATTCTATCCTTCTCCCACCCGTTGTTTGAAGAGACCAAGTTTTCTGTAGTAACAGGAGCCAGTGAGATCAAAACCCCCACACTGCTTCATTAGGAAAAGTGTCCAGTATTGAAATGCTATTTTGAAGATGTAATAACCAGGGCATCTTATATGGTCCCTTAAGCACTGCCGCGCACACAGCCAACCCAAGTTTGATCCCCAGCATCTCATATGGTCCCCTGAGCCTGCCAGGAGTGATTCCTGTGCACAGAATTAGAAGTAAAGTTCTAAAGTCAAAGAAAAAGTAAAATATACAATGGTTGAGGGTCGGAGAGATAGTACAGCGCGTAGGGCATTTGTCTTGCATGCGACCAACCCAGGTTTAATCCCCAGCATCCCATATGGTCCCTCGGGCCCCACCAGGAGTAATTCCTGGATATAGAGCCACGTGTGACCCAAAAAGTCAAAATAAAATAAAATAAAATAAAATAAAATATACAATGGTTATGGAGATGCTCAGTGGTTACTCCTGGCTCTGCACTCAGGAATCACTCCTGGCGGTGCTCGGGAGACCATATGGAATGCAGGGGATCGAACCCAGGTCAGCTGCGTGCAAGGCAAATGTCCTACCTGTGTGGGAGAGGAATCCTAAGAACACAGGTGGAAGGAAGAGGAAACTGGTGGCAGCCTCAGCGATGGAACATTGTCTAAAACCCAACTACAATTAAATCACGGTGCTCTCATAAAATAGAAAGTGCGGGGACATCATGTTCAGATGAGGGGCTGAGTTAGTAGCGCTATTCTCTGGGAGGAAGGACACAGCAGGTGAATAGCAGCCTGGGTGATCAGTGAAGCACAAGAAAGATCAATTCATGCTCTCCTCTTTCCTCTCATGCTGGGATCAGTTCTGGGGCCTTCTATGTCTCCCAGCCAGTGGGGACCACACTCATCAGTGCTTGGGGTCAACCACGTGTGAGACCTGTAACAATTAATCTAGTAATCTCTTGTTCAAGGGCTTAATGGCTCCAGGGTGAGACACAACAATCATCACACACTTTCCTTGAAGGAAACTTTTTGGATCATTTTTAGTGAATTATTCATAAGCAATACAAAATAAATTATTTAGGACCTGCTGTGGGGGCAGGCTTTTGGGGTGATGGGAATATTCGAAATAATGGTGGTAGGAAGGTATAATGGTGGCGAGTTTAGGTGTTGGAATATTTAATGTAATAAATGATTGTGAACAACTTTTTAAAAAATAATTTTAAAAATTAATTAAAATAAAGTAATTTTTTTTAAAAAAAGACCAGAACCTCAACCCCTATACTATCTCTCCAGCCTCATTGAATTTTTAACATGGCTCCAAAGGGCAGGTCTGGGTGTCAGTGTCTGACATCTCTCCAAGAGGTCACCAGGGTCCCAGTGGGAGACATCGATTTAGGGGATGTTCGTAGGACAGGACAAAGAGCGTTTGGGAGATCATTTATGCTCATCCCCAAGGCAGCGTTTACCCCGGAGAGTTGACAGGGACTCTCGGACCAGCCATTCTTCCAGGAGTTTTCAGTAAACAGGGCTGCCTGTAGACTCAGCCCAGTACCATGCCCACAGACACTCTTCAGTTTCTTTATAAAAAAAAAAAAAGTTAAGGATTCGTTCAAGAAGAAAATAGCCAGTTTGGATGAGAGAGAAATAGTTTCGAGCTTCAGAGCGCCTGCCCTGCCGCTGCCAACCTGGGTTCAGTCTCCAGCAAAGCACTGCAGTCAGTTTCCCAAGCACAGAATCAGGAGTAAGTCCTGAGCACTGGCCCCAAAAAGAAAAGAATCATTTGAGGGAGAAAAGACAGATGACAAAAACAAGCAACTTACTTATGATGAAACATAGTTTCACTGATAAGTGTCTGGTGAAACAGCAATTCTCTTTTGCCTTTGAAATTTTTGAAGATTCAAATAGGTACTCAGATACTGTTGACGGGTTTCTGCTTCTGTGAATTTTCTCCTCTACAAGTCCTCATACAGAGCGTCAGGAATGGAGCTCATTGAGAGAACACATATTTGGCCTTAGGTTCAAAAAACAAAACACAAACACAGAACTACTCAGTTGCACAGAAAGAGGCCCAGAGAGCAAGCACAGCGGGCAGGATGCTTGCCTTGCTCGTGGCTGACCTGGGTTTGATCCCCAGCACCTCGTGTAGTCACCAGAGCTGCCAGGAATGATCCCTGAGCATAGAGCCAGGAGTAAGCTTTGAGCACTCTTGGGTGGGGCCCAAATACCAAAAAAAAAAAAAAAAGTGCACAGGGAGAGCGACTTCTGTTCGATGCAGTATTGCTTAAAGTCATGAGAACTTGGAAACCACCCAAATGTCAATCAGCTGATAAATCACAATAGGTGTGTACACTGCAATATAGGGCGACTATTGAAAAGAAAGAAGTGTGAGAAGGAGATAGTATGGCAGGTTAGGGTGCTTGATTTGTATGCAACTGACCTGGATTCAGTCCAGAAGTGATCCCTGAGAGCAGAGCCAGGATGAGAGCCCTGATGAGCACTGCCAGGTGTCGCCCTAGAAAGAAGGAAAGGAAAGAAAGAAAAGAAGTAGGGCTGGAGTGATAGTACAGCTGTTAGGGCATTTGCCTTGCACATGGCCAACCCAGGTTCAATCTCCAGCATCCCATATGGTCCCCCAAGCTCAGCGGGAATGATCCCTGAGCATCACTGGGTATGACCCAAAAAACAAAAATTAAAAAGAGTAAATTAGGCCAATCAATGGCCTACAGAGAAAGGTGTGGGTTGGTAATGATGACATTTTAAAAAGCAAGCGGAGGGCAGTTCAGGAGCTAAGGCACTGCCTTGCACGCATTTGTAGTCCTGACTATGGTTCAAATCCCAACACCACCTGAAGTATGTTTGGTCTTGAATTTAGTGTTTGGTTTTAGTTTGGGGGCCATGCCCAGAGATGCTCCGGAGTTATTCCTGGCTCTGCACTTAGGAATTACTCCTGGCTGTGCTTGGAGCACCTTGTGGGGTGCCAGGGATCAAATTTTGCCAAGTGCCAGACTCACGCCCTACACACTGTACTATTGCCCCACCCTGAAACGTTACCTCTCTGACATCAGAACAGGTAGGATTAATAACCGTGGATTTCAGAGTACTGTACTGAAGATGTTGTCTGCTTTGAGTTGTTATTTAATTCGTTTATGGAATTGCCATTCTCCTGGTGACATCGACCAATTTTTGATTCAGTCTTAAAAAAAGGAATACGGGGCTGGAGCTATAGTACAGCGGGTAGGGCGTTTGCCTTGCAGGCAGCCAACACAGGTTCAATTTCCAGCATCCCATATTGTCCCCTGGGCACCGCCAGGAATAATTCCTGAGTGCAGAGCCAGTAGTTACCTCTGAGCACTACTGGGTGTGACCCAAAAAGGAAAAAAAAAAAACAGAGGAATGCACTGTTCACGGCTTCTGTTCTCTGGCAGATGAACTTCCAGCCAGCCCTGATGACTCAGATAACAGTGTATCGGAGAGTCTGGATGAATTTGACTACTCAGTGGCGGAGATCAGCCGCTCGTTCCGTTCACAGCAGGAAATATGTGAGCAACTCAACATCAATCACATGATCCAAAGGATCTTCCTCATTACTCTGGACAACAGTGAGTGACAGACTGGGGACCACTCTAATTGTTACTCTGCTTGAACCTATCTGCTCTTGGGGGGCTTGCTCTGAGCCATGAATGGTTTTATCTAATGGATAACCAAACCCACTGCATTCCCTGGAACATAGGGTTATGTTTCCTGAAACTTGGGTGTAACCTGAAAATGGGGTTTAGAGGCCGGAGCAGTAGTATAGCGGGTAGAGCACTTGCATCGCACACAGCTGACTCACGTTTAATCCCTGGCATCCCCTCTGATCCCCCAAGTCTTGCCAGGAGTCATCCTTGAGCACTGCCGGGTGTGGTCCCTCCTCCCAACCCCCCCCCCCAAAAAAAGTGTTTAGCCATAGTTTACAACTTTCATTGCCATTTTAATACTGACTGGACCGTATAGCTGCTTGCCTTTGTTCCTTATTTTTGTTGTTTGTTTTGGGGGACCTCCCAGACAGTGCTCAGGGGGCCTGAAGTCCACTCTGACAGTACAGGGTCAAGGTCTGTGGCCCTGATCGTTCAGTGCTGTGACCAATGATACCATTAAGGCCACATCCAGTCTTGGGAATTGAACTTGTAGAGCATGCACCTCCGCTCTTTGAGTTATGGCCCAATGTCCTTTTTAGCTTTTTATTTTGCTGGGTGGGGGGTGGGTGTTATGGGCCATACCTACTGGTGTCCGGGGGCTCCTTCCATTTCCAGGTTCAGGGCTGACAGCCAGTGAGACACAGGGAACCGTAGATGCCAGGTATTAAACCAGGGCCATCAGCATGCCAGGCACTCACCTTAACCCACGTACTGTCTTGCCAGCCTCTGCTTAGTCCCTGAAAAGGAAGATGGGAGCGGTAAGCTACCCTATGTTCTTCCCAGATGGACAGTCTGTTCTGTCTCTACACCCTGTTATAGTGGAACCACAAAGTCAGTGAGACTGTCTGGGATTCACTCATTAAGAGTCATGGTACTCAGTTCATAACAAAAGTCCTTGCCCGTTGGGGCCAGGGAGGTGTGGAGAAAGTGAGATTTAAATCTTGCTGCTCCGTATCTCAGTGTTACCCTGTTGGGACCAGTGTCAGACATGGAGTTCATCATCCTTAAGGACTTGATGGGACTGGTGGGGACAGGTTACAGCAGCCAGCGCAGGCAGGGGCAGTGCCCATTCAGATACGTGAGTGAGGCTGGGGATGTGTGTGGGGTGCGGGGGGGGGGGGGGCAGGGGGTGTAAGGCACTTTCCTTGTATGCGACTCACCTGGGTTCGATCCCCAGCACCTGCATATGGTCCCTTGAGCACCTCCAATGTGACCCTCCAGCCCTACCCCCTCCCAAACCCAAAAATGCTAATTGCCTGATGAAAACCATTTCCCAGGTGATCCAAGTCTGAAAAGTGGGAACGGCATCCCCAGCCGCTGTGTGTACCTGGAGGAAATGGCAGTAGACCTGGACGATCAGGACTGGCTCGATATGAACAACGTGGAGCAGGTGGGGCCTCTCTGGGGCAAACCCTGGCCTCCTGCGTGAGCATAAATCCTGCCCCTTGAGCTGACTCTCTCGCCCTGAGTATCAGATGCTCGTTCCTCTGGGTGAACTCTGCTCACCTTCTCCAGCCAGCACTTAACTGATGCTATTGCTGGTCGTGTTCCTCACTGGGAATCATCTCAAACGTGGCCTCATGCCCAACGTTACCCACTCTTCAAGACCCAGCTAGGGCCGGAGCGCTAGTGCAGTGGGTAGGGCTTTTGCCTTGCACGCAACCCACCCTAGTTCAAACCCTGGCATCCCATATGGTCAACCGAGCACCACCAGGAGTAATTCCTGAGTGCAAAGCCAGGAGTAAACCCTGAGCATTGCTAGGTGTCACCCAAAAAGAAAAAAAAAATTACCCAGCTAAAGTGTCAAGTGATTTTTGAAGCTCAACCAGGCAGGGGGGCATTCTCTCTCAAGTTACCAGAGTAGCAGAGTACCTGCACATTGTCATGTACTCAGTTAACACAGTGACTCCTGAGCATACCACCAGTGGCTCACCTTGAACAGGGGTCTGCTTTACACAAATTGCCACACTAGCCCCAGTGTTTTTTTCCTTGTGTTTGTCTTACTGCCCTTAGATTCTTGAGATCTCAAGGGCAGCACTGTCCTAAGATCACTTCTTTTTTTAATTTTTCCAGAAGCAAAGCATTTGAGGCTGGAGAGATGATGAGGGGGTCGGGTGCTTGGCTGGCACATGCCAACTCGGGGTCCGATGGTTCTGTGTTGGTTTCTGCCCTAGGCCGTCTTCGCTCGCTTGTTACTTCAAGACCCCGGCAATCACTTGATTAATATGACTTCTTCGAGCACGTTGAATCTCTCTGCTGACCGAGATGCTGGGGAAAGGCACATTTTCCGCTACCTTTTTTCCTGCTTCCAAAGAGCCAAGGAAGAGGTAAAGGGATCCTCCCTGTTGGGGTCCGTCATGTCCTCTTGGGTCTGACTGACTGTGAGCAGGGATCACTCGGGGTCCTGTCCATTTTATCCACTAGACCATATTTGGAACCAGACAGCAGAGGCACCATCGGTTCGTCTTAAGTTTTAGTCTCCCCTTTCTGACTTGGGGTCCACTTCTTTCCCCAGTTAACCATAACTTTAGTCAACAACAAAAAAAAAACTCTTTGATTTAGTTTCATTTGGGCACCAGACTGGGACTGTGTGCAAGGCAGGCACTTTACCTGATGCTCGTTCTCTCTCTAACCCCTCAGCAAACTTCTTTTTACAAGATCACACCTGATTGGCCAGAGAAATAGTACGGTGAGCAGGGCACTTGTCTTGCATGCAGCCAACCTGAGTTCGATCCCTAGCACCCTATATGGCCCCCTGAGCCCCACCAGAAGTGATCCCTGAGCACAAAGTTAAGAGTAACCTTAGCATTGCCAGGTGTGGCCCCTGAACAAAAACTCATGCTCCTTGGGGCCAGAAAGATAATCTCAAAGGGCCGGAGAGGTTGCTCTGCATTCAGGGTTCCCAGATCTCAGCACTACAAACGGTCAGTTACATACTCCAGCTCTGCCAGCTATGAACTGGCACAAAACAATCACACCCTTTGAAAAAAGACTTTATGGGGTTGGAGCAGTAATTGCACAGCGGGTAGGGCGTTTGCCTTGCACATGGCCAACCCAGGTTCAATTCCCAGCGTCCCATATGGTCCCCTGAGCACCGCCAGGAGTGATTCCTGAGTGCAGAGCCAGGAGTAACCCCGGTGCATTGCCGGGTGTGACCTAAAAAGGAAAAAAAAAAAAAAGACTTTATGAGACTGGAGCCATAGGAGCAGGGAGGGCACTTGCCTTGCATGTGGCTGACCCGAGTTCAATCCCCAGCATCCCATATGGTCCCCTGAGCACCACCTGGAGTGATTCCCGAGTGCAGAGCCAGGAGTAACTCCTGAGCATTACCAAGTGGCTAACCAAAAAAAAAAAAAAAAACCAACCAAAAATACTGTTTTTGATTTAAACAATTTTCAAAGATCATATAACTCATTTTCGATAAGGACTAAGTTATAGAATCAGTTCAACTTGAGGGTCACTGCCAGGATTGGAACGCAGCAGATGGCTGACCCCCTGACTCAAAGGATTATTGTGGCATTCCCAGCAGCCACAGGACTGCAGCATTGTGCCAGACAGTTGCCTTTTCCACTCCAACTGCACTGGCCACTCTGTTCAGACCCTAACATCGGGCTCTTCCCTCCGGGTGCCACCTACAGATCACCAAAGTTCCCGAGAACCTGCTGCCCTTCGCTGTGCAGTGCAGGAACCTCGTGGTGTCCAACACCCACACCGTCCTCCTCACCCCCGAGATCTACGTGGACCAGAACATCCATGAGCAGCTGGTCGACTTGATGTTGGAAGCCATCCAGGGAGCCCGTGAGTACCTCCACAATCTGGGCACATCGGCGCTTCCATTTCCCATGTTAGGAGCCCCCGCTGGCATTGAAAGTCTCAACATGCTGGTGCGCCGGGATATATTGAGAGTGGATTCACATCTGACCTGCAGGGTGGAATTCTGATCCTTCTAAAACATCAGAAAGGGGCTGGGGGTGCAGCTCAGTAGGTGAGCTTTTTCCTTTAAGCATTTTTTGTTCGGAGAGGAGGGGGTTGGACCACAGCCAGTGGTACTTACGGGTTACCTCAGTTCGAACTCAGAAGTTACCGCCCGCTGGTGTGAAGTTCATGCCCAATTCAGTCAGCTTAATCAGTGGCTGAATAAATAGTGTACTCCCTACATTAAAAATAACAATAAAAATTAAAATTAAAAAAAATAATAAATTAGTACTGGTGGGGTTGGGGGTACCAGCAAGTGCCAGGGATCGAACTCGGTTCACCTGCATACAAAGCAGGAGCCTTACCCCACTGTACTATTGCTTCAACCCAGTAGAGCATTTTTCTTACATTCTGTGAAGCTCTAAGTTCAACCCTGGCACCTCAAAACAAAACAAAACAAAAAAAGTATATATGAGGCTGGAGAAAGAGATAGCAAAGGAGAGACTAAGTGGGAGAATGGGAGAGAAAAGGAGAGACTGAATGTGTTGTAAGAAAAGTGAAGAGCCAATATATAAGAGCATAACAAAATTTCTTTTGAAGGGGCCAGAGAGATAGTACAATGGGTAGAGCACTTGCCTTGCACATTGCTGACCTGGGTTCAATCCCTGGCAACACATACTATCCCTGGAGCCCTGCCAGCAGTGATCCCTGAGCACAGAGCCAGAGTAGCGCCTAAGGGCTGTAATGATAGCACAGCGGGTAGGGCGTCTGCCTTGCATGCGGCCAACCCAGGTTCAATTGCCAGCATCCCATATGGTTCCCCAGGCACCACCAGGAGTAATTCCTGAGTGCAGAGTCAGGAGTAACCCCTATACATCGCCGGGTATGACCCAAAAAGCAAAAAAAAGAGAAGTCACACCTAAACAGAACCAATGGTGACCCACCCCCTCACCCCCCAAAAAAAAAATTTCCTTTTGAGTTCATCCTCCATCTTTGGGATTCACTTCATCTTGACCCAGGATAAAGTGAATTTTGCTTTCTCTGCTTTGGAGAAGCCCATGTTCTCTCTCGCACCTCTGTCTCCCCCCACCCTTCCTCTCTCTTTCACTCCCACTGTTGCTTTCTTGCTCTCTCTCTCTCTCCTGCTCACAGTCTCTCTGTTCTGTCTCTCACTTTCATTCTTTCATTCAGTCTCTCGCTATCGCTCTGTCCTGCTGTCTGTCATGCTGTCTCACTCTCTTGGGCTCTCTCAGACTCTGTCTTGCTCCCAGACTCACTCTCCTCTTCCGACTTCCTCACTGTGGAAAACTAAGGAAATGAAAAGCTGGTTTCACATCACTGGGGGCGGCAAGCGGCGAGCTCACCAGTGGGCTGCGTGTGCCCACTTTGCATGCAAAATTACCAGGGTCACTCCCAGAGCCTGCATGCTCACTGAGCACTGCCAGGCATCACCCCAAAACAGAAACAAGACACAGCACAATTTCTCTCATCACCAGATGACACTGAGGGTATAAGTGCATGCAAGTAAAAAAAACCCCACAATATTCCTCTGGCCTCTTTTCTCATTTGCCCTCCCTCAGATTTTGAAGATGTAGCTGAGTTCCTGGAAGAGGTGATTAAGGCCCTGGTGTCTGATGAAGAAGTTCGGACATTTCCAGAGGTCATGAATCCAATGTTTGATGTTTTGTTGAGCCGAATCAAAGATCTGGAGCTCTGCCAAATGCTGCTGTATGCCTACCTGGACATTCTTCTCTATGTCACCCGGCAGAAGGACATGGCCCAGGTAGGTGTGAATGGCGGGCTCTCTTCCTTCAGTCGTCCTGTTCATTCTGCTTCCCTGGGCTGAAGATGTTTCAGGGTAACTTGCTGAGTGAAAGTAAGCGAGGTGGGTGGTTGCATAGACGCTGCTCTCGGGGCCCCATCACACCTGCCCGGCATCACCTCCTCACACAGATGAAGACGCAGGATTTGTCTTCACTTGCAGGTCTTCGTAGAATACATTCAGCCCAAGGACCTTAGCAACGGGCAGATGTACCAGAAGACCTTGCTGGGCATAATCCTGAACATCTCCTGCTTGTTGAAGACTCCGGGTGTCGTCGAAAACCACGGCTACTTCCTGAATCCCTCTCGGTCCAGTCCCCAGGAGATCAAAGTGCAAGAGGCCAATATCCATCAGGTGGCGCTGTCTTCCCGATTGTCCCAGCGGGCCCTGTCTAGGATGTAGTTTCTTTGGGAGCACAAGCAGCTCTCAGGGATGCTCGAGGCACTTTGAGCAAGTGGAACTGGCCTGCAGAGTGTTCCGGCCCGTGTGGGTGAGGAGTCTTGGGCCCAGTGGTCTTGGGCCCACTGAGACTTCCCTGTGCTGTTCTCTGCCCAGGGCTGGAGCATGTGCTCTCAAGCCGGCATTTTTCTCACCCACCTGTTTCTCACAACTTGAGTGCCTAAAAATCCAAACGATTCTTCTGTCCACCCACACGAGGCTGTCAGTGGTGAGAAGGATGGGGCGGGGAGGAGTCCCTCTTGACAAATCACAGCTGGGGCCACATCTGCCTCCCCCCATCTTATTGACAGGGGCCGTGTCAAACAGTCATGTCCATCCATTTATGTCTTGGTTTTGGCTTGATTTCCTGCGGGGGTGCTAAGAGTCAAGTAGTTGTTATAGAGACCAGATGGCACATAAAGCGGAGACATTTATCATCTGGACTTTCATAGGAAAAGTTTATAGGCCCCTACTCGCAAGCTCTGTAATACTTTCAGCAGTTCGGCAGCTTCCCAAAAAATGGCTCTGAAGTGCCCAGAATTTTTTTGTTTTATTAGCACTGGGGTGCTAAGTCAAAGAAGAGTGAGGGGAAGAGGTTTGAATGTGCATATTTCTAGAAATTACCAAGTGCTAAGGTTTGGGAGTAACAGATATTAGGGGTTGTGCAACTGGAATGTTCTGTGGTTCTGTTTCCTGGCTACACAGTTCATGGCTCAGTTCCATGAGAAGATCTACCAGATGCTGAAGAACCTGCTGCAGCTCTCTCCCGAGACCAAGCACTGCATCTTGTCCTGGCTGGGAAACTGTCTGCATGCAAACGCAGGTCGCACCAAGATTTGGGCCAACCAGATGCCAGAAATCTTCTTCCAAATGTACGCCTCGGATGCCTTCTTCCTGAACCTGGGTGCTGCCCTCCTGAAGCTCTGCCAGCCATTCTGCAAACCCAAATCCTCTCGGCTGCTCACCTTTAATCCCACTTACTGTGCCCTGAAGGAGTTGAATGACGAAGAACGGAAAATTAAGAACGTCCACATGCGAGGTAGGGGAGGGGTGGGCTTCTCACAAACCTAAATGTGGTGCGTGTTGTATGTGTTTGTCTATGCAAGAGAGACGGGGGGGGGGGGGGGGGGGGGGGATCTAGGCCTTCACTGGCTTAGCCTTTTTCACAAAGTTGCCCCTTTTTTCCTGAAACAGGCTGAGGCAGAAAGAATAGCTATTTAATTTTAAAGACCCAAACAACAAAAGCAGCAATTGCCGTCCAAGTACTGTGCGTTAGTGATACACCTCTGAAGTTAGCAGCCTTGGGTAGTTCTTTGTTCATTTTCCTTTTTGGATTCTGAGCCACACCTAGCAGAGCTTAGGGTTCCTCGTGGCTCTCTCCTGCAGACCATTGAGCTATCTTCCTTGTCCTTTTATTTATTTATTTATTGCTTTTTGGGTCACACCCAGCGATGCTCAGGGGTTACTCCTGTCTCTGCACTCAGGAATTACTCCTGGCGGTGCTTGGGGGACCATATGGGATGCTGGGAATCGAACCCGGGTCGGCCGCGTGCAAGGCAAACGCCCTACCCGCTGTGCTATCACTCCAGCCCCCTTATTTATTTTTTGACAGTGCTCAGGGACCATGTGTGATGCCAGGGATCAAACCCAGGTCAGCCATGTGCAAGGCAAGCACTCTGCCCACTGTACTATTTCTCTGGCTCCCCTTTATTACTTTTAAATACAAAAAATATATATTCTTTGTTCTTTCTTCTTTTTTTTTTCTTTAACTCAGAGATGCCAGAAGAAGACAGGTAGTTTTACAGGTAACGGTAATATAGTTTAGTATTAAACCAGGAGAGCATGGAAAAGGAGCGAACAATAAATACTGCAGACGTTGAGATCTTTATAGCTTAGTCCTGCGAGGTGAATGCGGGTTTTCAGGCACAGAGGAAAGAGCCAGTGTGATGGCCCAAAGCTGCAGAAAGATTTGACAAAAGCAGCCTTAGCAGGTTGGTGTGGCTCAAGAAAGACTTTGGGAAGGACAGGAAATATGACAGGGAAGAAAAGAAGATCGGGACTGGGTAAGAGAAAACTTGAACAATACAGAGAGGTGGAAAGAAGAAAGTAAGGCACTCTTGATTCTATCTTCATCCTTTTTTTGGTTCTTGGCCACACTTAGCAGTGCTCACAACTTTGCACTCAGGAATCACTCCTAGGAGCCAGGGATTGAATCCAGGTCGGCCACATGCAAGGCAGGCACCTTACCCACTGTATTGTAACTCTGGCCACCTTTATAATGCAGCTTCAACTTAATAAACTGGTGCTGAAGAGATAGTACCATCAGTAAGGCTCTTAGCTCAGATGCATCTGACCCGGGTTCTATCCCTTGTACCACATGTGTTACCCCGCCCCCAATCCTCCAGGAGTGATCTCTGAGTTCAAAGCCAGGGATAAGCCCCAAGCACTGTCAAGTGTGATTTCCCCCACACATACACACACACATACATACACATACCCAGAAAGAAATACTTTATAAAAGCATGGACTAGATCACAAATGATCCACTGTCATCTCACTTGGAAAAATCTACGGTGTTAATCTTTCCTCTTAAGTTTTAGTGACTTACAGTCAAACTTAAGAAGTTTAACTGCACCTATGTAGACGATGAGAAGCCAAAAGACATTAGACACAAGAGGAGCAATTTGATCGGATTTGTTGCTAAGACCCCTTCGAGAAGCCACACGGTCACAGCACAGTTGGGGTTCAGCAGAAGCATAGAGATATGGAGGATCGAGATGGATGCCAGTGACGGACCAGTCACTCTTGTTTTAACTTCTTTAAGGTTTGGACAAAGAGACGTGTCTGATCCCAGCTGTGCAGGAGCCAGAGTTTCCCCAGAACTACAACCTAGTAACAGAGAATCTTGTTCTTACTGAGTACACCCTGTACCTGGGATTTCATAGGTAAGTTCTCTGATGGCATCAGGACATAACCACATAGTTGTGTTGCTAGCCGGACGCTGAAAGTGTGTCTCAGAGACTTCATCTCATTTGATCTCGAAGACTCCTACTAGGGTCAAGTGGAAGGGTATTTAGATGCATTCCTTTATGTTGTCATGAATGAACTTTGCTGAACAATTTTGAATAGATTTAAATTTTTTTGACTGATTGAACTTTTTTCTTTTTTTTTTATTTTCTTGCTTTTTGGGTCACTCCCAGCGAAGCACAGGGGTTACTCCTGGTTCTGCACTCAGGAATTACCCCTGGCAGTGCTCAGGGGACCATCTGGGATGCTGGGAATCGAACCTGGGTTGGCCGCATGCAAGGCAAATGCCCTACCCACTGTACTATTGCTCCAGCCCCCTTAATTGAACTTTTTAAAATTAAATATGTGCCAGTTTTCTGTTCTCCACCCCCCCCAAGTTGCAATTGGGTTTGGCTCTTGCAACCAGGGCTACCCCCAGAAATGCTCAGGGGCTTCACCCCTCTCCTAGCCACCGTGCTCCCCGCTGGACTGAGGGGCCAGGTCATGTCAAGGAGGGAGCCAGGGACTCCAGTCTTGGGGGCCATCTCCCGGGACCTAACCTACAAGTTTTCAGTTGCCAGAGTCAGAGAGATAGTGCAGCCGTCAAGGCACTCCTGAGTGCCTCCCCCCAACTGCCAAAGAAAAAACAAAAAGGAATAGTTCAAGGTTTTTGTAAGAACAGTAGGGATTTCCATTGTCAAAACGGACACCTGGTTGCAGATTTTGGATTTCTAAGACTCCCCTGACCTCTGTCCTTGGTGGGCGGTGGCAAGGAGGGCTGGAAGTAGGGGTAGAACTCGGGACTGGGTCATCATAACCAGCTGTGCTCAGGGTTTACTCCTGGCTCTGCACTTTGATTTACCACCCCTGACATGGTTCAGGGAACCACATGGGGTGCTTGGGATGGAACCTGTGTTGGCTGTGTACGTGGCAAGCTTCCTGTCCTCTGTACCATCGCTCTGGCCCCTATCCATCATTGGCATTTTAAGTAGGAGTGTGAATTTTGTACGTACACAGCCTATTCAGCCAATCAGCTTCAAACAAGAAGAACTCTACTGATTTCCCAGTATCACTTAGCTAACCCTACGGATTATCGAACACTGCCGAAGGACTGCACACATCAGAGGGCGTTATCTGCAACATTGAACTGTGGGTCTTCCTTTCACTGGGGAACATTTGCATCATGCATCAGGAACTATCATTGAAGGGTGTACTGGACCACAGACGATAGGAAGCTGCTCTTCTCTTGCACCCCCAGGGACATCTGGCTGAGATCAGTCCTTACGCATTGAGCCCCTTTCAGTGGCTTCCATTCTGTTCTTTGGAGAGAGACTGTCCAGATAACCACAGTGCCTTACCTTCATTGCCAGAGATGGGCTCAATGGCCAGAGCCTAGTCTAAGGCTCTCCACAGAGTATAATTATTGCACCTGTGTGGTCTCAAACTATCCTACTGCACTTCCTGTGCTTGACCTGATACTTTACATAATAACGGCCCTTCTGCAGCACCTGCTCAGCCCCTGGGCACTGGTCTTTGGGTTGGAGCAGAACCCAGTTCACTCTCCGGAAGTTCCATTATGTTGAATGTTTGATAGCGTTTCCCAGTGCTGAGGGGCGGGGGCGCTGTCCTGTGAGGAACTTGTGTGTGCCTTTCCTCTCATCCCCTGCGCCTCGCAGCATCCCGAACGAGAATCTTGAGAAAAAAAAAGAGTTTTTCCTTGTTCCTCTGCCCAACTGTCCCTCCAAGCCTCCCTGACCCAGTTTCTTCTGCTTTCTTGGAGGCAGGTTGCATGATCAGATGGTAAAAATCAACCAGAATCTGCACCGGCTGCAGGTTGCCTGGCGGGACGCTCAGCAGAGTTCCAGCCCCGCTGCTGACAATCTCCGAGAGCAGTTCGAGCGACTGATGACCATCTATCTTTCCACCAAGACCGCCATGACTGAGCCACAGATGCTGCGGAACTGCCTGAATTTGCAGGTTTCCATGGCGGTTCTCCTAACGCAGCTGGCCATTGGCAACGAGAGCTCACAGCCAAAGGAGCTGACCTTCCCGCTGCCGGACAGCTACAGCTCCCTGGCCTACGTGCCAGGTAAGCAGGGACTTCCTCTTCGTACCATCTCAGTTCCCCTAGTTCACTGTGGAAGTTGGAGCTTCAGAAGGCCCTTCTGTAGTCATCACTCAATGGTTTTTGGAGAAACAAGTCCAAGTTTTAGATCCTATCCTTGGGTCAGCATACAGAGGAGTCCACTGCCTATTCCTGAGCCCCTGGGAGCCCATGATCACAGGCATCTAATGTTTTTATCTTGATTCAAAAGTCTTCCTACAACTAGGGGGTGATTTAAACCACAGTTAACCTTGAACGTGGAGAGATAGCATGGCGGGTAGGGTGTCTGCCTTGCACACGGCCAACTGGGTTCGATCCCTGGCATCCCATCCCAGCACTGCCAGGAGTAATTCCTGAATGCGGAGCCAGGAGTAACGCCTGGGCCCAAAAAGCAAAATTTAAAAAAAAAGGTGGAGAGAAATGTAAAATAGCATTCTTTCTTGAACTGCACTTTTGTATTCACCATATTTCATATAATGACAATCCCAACAATTATATTGGTTGAGGAAAAGTTATAATTAAACTTACACTTAAAGGAGACTGTTATAGGGGCCTGAGTGGATTTCATTCCCAGCACCTCATATGGTCTCCCAAGCACCGCCAGAAGTGACCCCTAACTGATTGCAGAGCAAGGAGTAAGCCCTGAGCACAGGATATGGTGAAAAGCCAAAAATAAAGGAGATTGTTACCACTGGCGAGATAGTACTAGGGTTAAAGCAGTTTTCACGCAGCCAACCCAGGTTCCCTCCCCAGCACTGATATGGTCCCCTGAGCCTCACCTAGAGGAGACTTGCACACTGCTGGGTGTGACCAAACAAAACGAAACAAAACAAGGGTTTGTTCAGAGCAGAGTGCCTGAAGAAATGGCACCTCTGTTTACACCATACCCAACAGAAATCTGGGTTCACTGATGGAGGGGCACAAAATTTGCCACCTTCCAGTGACTACCCTACATTGTCTAAAAATAAAATAATGTTTTTAAAAAAAGATTCTGTATTTATTAACTTAGAACCATTCTTGGTACCCATTTTGGTGTTCTGTCTTGTTTTGTTTTTTTCTTTTAACCTTTGAATAAGTTGGATGAAAGAAATTTCCCCGTAGTTTAGTACAAATGTTTTGCTCATTCTGGTGACCGATTTTGTCTTTCAGAATTCTTTGCAGATAACCTGGGGGATTTCCTCATTTTCCTCCGCCGCTTTGCTGATGACGTCTTGGAGACATCAGCAGACTCCTTGGAGCATGTCCTTCACTTTATCACCATCTTCACTGGAAGCATAGAAAGGTAAAGTGGCAAAGGCCCAGCTCTGCGGCAGCTTAATAAACAAGGCCTCCAGAATCTGGTTAACACTAGCAAATTAGCTGACCTTACGGGTAGCCGAAAACACCTCTCCTGAGAGGCATAATCAGCAAAGGACTTAGTCCGCAGAGAATTTGAACCTGCATATAAGGTACCTGAGGGGAATTCATTCCACTGCCGGTCCCTGGTGAAAATAGTTACCTTAATGCCAGGAACCTTTCCAGGCAGCCAGTGCTGACGATCTGCTAATAGTCGTATGACAGAATTCACTCTTGAAATTCAGAGAGAAGCAGGAAACATCAGGGAAATGTTTTCTGGCCTCCCTCTCGTCCTTTTTTCCCAAAGGAAGATCCTCACTCCCAGTGACCCGTGGAGTTCTCTGAATTTTGTTTATTTTTTTGTTAATGGGCCACGCCTGGCGGTGCTCAGGGATTACTCCAGGCTATGCATTAGAATCAGTCCTGTCAGGGCTCAGGGTACCATCATGGGGTGCCAGCGATTGAACCCAGGTCAGCTACATGTAAGGCAAGAGCCCCACTCTGTCCTAGTACCCAGGCCCCGCTTCTCTAATTATTTTTTAACAAAACAAAACAAAGGCTGTATATGGAACTGAGGTTCTGCTGTACACAGAAGAGAAGAACTCAGTGTCCTGAACTGTGTCAGAGAGACACGGGGAGGAGCCAGCCTTCTACTGAGCTGAGCGGCTGGAGAAGAAACCTTCAGTTCATAAGTATCTGTTAAGTGCACATGGTATATGTAGTAATACAGAATAATCACACTCCTGCCCGCAAAAACCTCGAAAAGTGGTGGGCTGGAGCGATAGTACAGTGTCTAGCACATTTGTCTTGCACGTGGCCAACCCAGGTTCAGTCCCCAGCAACCCATGGGATCCCCTGAGCACTGCCAGGAGAAATTCCTGAGTGCAGAGTCAGGAGTAACACCTGAGCATCTCTGGGTGTGACCCCAGCCTCACCCCCCCAAAAAGGCCAAAAAAAAGAAATCTTGAAAAGTTTATCCCATGAGAACCGAGCAACAAGCAGTAAATATTTGGGAAAGAGAGAAAGAGGGGCTGAGTGATAGCACAGCGGGTAGGGTGTTTGCCTTGCACGTGGCCGACCGGGTTCGATTCCCAGCATCCCATATGTCCCCCGAGTACCGCCAGGAGTAATTCCTGAGTGCAGAGCCAGGAGTAACTCCTGAGCATCGCCGGGTGTGACCCCCCCCCAAAAAAAAGAAAAGTAAACACGGGAGTCGGAGAAATGGCACAAAGGGCTGGAGCATGTATTTCACTTGTGAGAGCCCCAAATTCTCCCCTGGCACCACCGCCAGTGTAGCTCCCAGAACATTCATGTTAGGGGCCAGAGCCATGGCTCAGCAGGCTAGCATACATGCTTCCCATGCAGGAGCTCGAGGTTTAGTCCTGGGACCACATGGTTCCTTGAACACTGCCGGGAGCAGCCCCCCAAAACATGTAAACAAATTTAACACAACTTTTTTTTTTAAATGAAAGGAGAATGACTAAACGGAAACTTCAATCCTGGTCCCCTCTTCGATGAGCTGTGATTTCATGTGTTAAATGGGGTCCCCTGAATTAACCCTCAGAAGTTAACAGATTTAAAGTTCTCCTCTCCACGACCCCACACCCCCCAACACGATTACAGGGTATCTTGGCTCCTCGGTAGAGGAAACCGTTCAGCACGTTGGGAGTTCATTTCTTTCCAGCTCATCTTGCTGTCTGCCCTGTTGGCAGGATGAAGAATCCTCATTTAAGAGCCAAACTGGCGGAGGTGTTGGAAGCAGTGATGCCCCACCTGGATTCAGCCCCGAACCCCCTGGTGTCTAGTGTGTTCAACCGGAAACGAGTGTTCTGCAATTTCCCCCACGCCCCCCACCTTGCAGAAGCTCTAATCAAAGTCTTCGTGGATATCGAGTTTACAGGTGAAGCATTGTGGAGCTGACAATCTGATCTGGGGGGTGTTCCATGCCCTAGCCAGTACCGGGGTGTCCAAGACGGCATCTCTTAGCGAGCCCCAGCCGTGCTCCAGCCTTGAGGCTCAGTGCTTTTTTTTTTTTTTTTCAACATTATCTCATTATGTATCAGCCTCTGGAACATTGTACTGTGTTAGGCCCGCTTTTCACACAAGGACTTGGATGCTCGAATTGTTGGTCTGTGTCGTGCAGCTGCCCAGTAGACAGGTTTGTCTCACCTAAAAAACAAGCTCTCTCTTCTGGAGAAATAGTAAGCTGGGCAGCACGCTTGCATTGTATGTGGCCAGCCTACATTTGATTCCTGGCACCCCGTATGGCCCCCTGAGCCCTGTCAGAAATAAGCCCTGAGCATCACTGGATGTGGCCCTCCCATAAAGAGAAGCACCATCTAAGCAGCTTGTTAAAATCATACTCAAACAAATTAGCCATTGAGCTTCTTGACCCGAGACGTGTGCTCTCGACTGTCTCCCCCTCTGGCGAAGGTGGGGTTCTCTCGAATATCTCTTTCTCACTCTTCTCCCCCCCCCCACACACACACACACCTGCTAAAATTGCAGAATAAACCAGGGAAATAGCTCAAAGTGCTGGAATGGGCGTATGCTCAGTCACCTGCACCACACGGTACCCCCATAAAAGCACCCCTGCTCCCCATTAAAATTGCAGTATGGGGCTGGAGCACAGCGGGTAGGGCGTTTGCCTTGCACATGGCCGACCCGGATTCTATTCCCAGCATTCCATATGGTCCTCCGAGCACCAGCAAAAGTAATTCTTGAGTGTGTGAGCCAGGAGTAACCCCTGTGCAAAACCGGGTGTGACCCAAAAAGCAAAAAACAAACAAATAAAATTGCAGTATGGTGGATAATGACATAATATGCTGATTGGGATTTGGTGGGATTGTTTTGTTTTGGTTTGGTTTTTTTTAAAGTCTTATCCAGACTGTGTTGACTTTCATGGTCTCATTGATTAAGTGAGAGTAACAGCAGATGTGCATTCTCCTTTGGCCTCATGAAATACAGCCTTCAGATAATGTCAGAGGAAGCAGTAACTCTCACTCAGCTCCCAAACAGAATGTATTAAGGAGTTTTTTTTGTTGTTGTTTTGTTTTGTTTTGCTTTTTGGGTCACGCCCGGCGATGCTCATGCTCAGGGGTTCTCCTGACTCTGCACGCAGGAATCATTCCTGGTGGTGCTCAGGGAACCATATGGGATTCCAGGGTCAGCTGCTAGCCAGGCAAACACCCTCCCCGCTGTACTATCACTCTGGCCCTTCTTTTTAGGTTTGGAGACCACACCTAGAAGTGCTCAGGGGCTACTCCTGGCTTGATGCTTTGGGGTCACTGTCGGTGGTGCTCAGGGGGAACCATATGGTCCAGTGCTCAGACCCAGGCCTCTCCTGCAAAGCATACACTCTGTTCACCACACTCGCTAAGGGGGATGCCCTGCCATTCTGTGGGAACAACTCATGCCCTTTAAAGAGGCATTTCACACTGCCGATAGCCTTCCTAGCTTTCTGTTTGACTCTTCACCTCTGAGCCTTGCTTTCCTCACCTGCAAAAGGGATTTAAGTGTCCAGCAACTGGACCAGGGGCGTAGTTTCATTGGCATACCACATATGTGCCCAGCATTTGCCAGGCCCTGAGATTGACCCCCAGCCCAAGCATACCTGGATATGGCCACAAATAAAATTGTTCCTCAGTAGAAGCCAGAGAGAGAGTACAGGGATAAGGTGCTTCCAGATCAGTACCCTGTACCACCTGTGTTCCCCCAAACCAGGCCAGGAGTGATGCCTAAGTATAGAGCCAGGTATAAGCCCCCAGCACAGTTGGTGTGACCCCACAATAAAGAAAAAGAAGCAACTGCACAACAGATGGCTGAAATTATCTCCCAAGACAATCCATTACACTTCCTTTGTTATTCCGTGCAAGTTTAAAAGGTGAAGCAGGGGGCTGGAGAGATAGCATAGCGGGTAGGGCGTTTGCCTTGCATGTGGCCGACCCGGGTTCGATATGGTCCCCTGAACACCGCCAGGAATGATTCCTGAGTGCAGAGCCAGGAGTAACCCCTGTGCATTGCCGGGTGTGCCCCAAAATCCAAAAAAATAAATAAATAAAAGGTGAAGCGCCTTGCATCAGTGACAGGGGCCCTGTGCCCCCTGTTCTATCCCTTTTACATGCCACAGCCCACAAAGTTTGGGCCGTGTTTGGTATGGCAAAAGCAGTATCCACTTCTCATTTTTAGCTCCTTGTCTGTGTCTGTGTGGGGTTTCGTTGTTGTCATTGTTTTGATTTGGGGGGACCACATTTGTGAAGCTCAGGACTCAGTTCTGACTCTGTGGCCTGGTATGGAATAATTCCTCATGGCATGGTCATGGAGGGGCCTGGCAGCATGTTCAGGGGACCATGTGGTGCCAAGGATCAGGCCAAGGGCTCCCACGGGCAGGCATGTGCTTGGCCCTTAGAACTCTCCCCAGCCCTCCAGTGAATATTTGTTTGGGGTCTGTACCTGGCAGTGATGGGCTTACTCCTAGCTCTGTGTTCAGAATTACTGCTGGCGGGTTCGGGGAACCACATGGGGTGCCAGGGATTGAACCCGGCGTGGCTGCATGCAAGGCAAAGGCCCTCCCGCTGTACTATCGCTCTGGCCCATCCAGTGGCTTTTATTGGACACTTGGTCCATGTCCTTCTCTGTGAGGACAGCTGCACGTCTGTCTGCTCTTAGCCTGTCATCGAGGAAACAAGGGAAGGCTTGGCTTGAGGCTGTGAAAATCCACTGTAGGCTTGTCCCCACACGCAGCTATGGTCAAAGGTCCCTGTGTCTAATGGCACCGCCTTTGTTGGTTCTCTGCCCCTCCCTCACTCCAGGAGACCCGCATCAGTTTGAACAGAAGTTTAATTATCGCCGCCCCATGTACCCTATCTTGAGGTACATGTGGGGAACGGATCCCTATCGAGAGAGTATTAAGGTGAGAGGGTTCGGGGAGCACCAAAGCTGGGTTCCCGGCACTTCCGAACCACCAGGGTGGTGATTGCTTCCCTCTTGGTCTGTGACTTACAGGATTTGGCAGACTATGCCTCGAAGAACTTAGAAGCCATGAACCCCCCACTTTTCCTCCGCTTTCTCAACCTGCTAATGAACGATGCCGTCTTCCTCTTGGATGAAGCCATACAGGTAAACAGAAAAAGTGGTGTCACCAAATTGTCCTCCATGCAAACATTTTTTTGGTTTTGTTATTTTAGCCTTTTAAGCAGAACGGAGAGTTCTACTGTCTACTGTCTAGTATTTATCCTGGCACCACAGGTCTCGGACTCCAGAAACCCGTGTGCAGGTTCCATGGGCCAGGGTGGTACTTTGTGGAGGGTGGAGGAAAAAGTGTGATGAGGCCAAATGCAGACACATGGCAGGAGGATCTTGCTTTTCTCCTCAGGGACTTGTAACTTCTACCCCAGCCTGTCAGTAACAGGGGCTTCCTTGGCAGTGATTCTCAGCCCTCTTCAAAAAGACTTGATTTTTTTTTTTAATCACTCGTTTGGTTTGATTTAGGGCTACATTCAACCATGCTCGGGGCTTACTTCTGGCACTGTGCACAAGGACTACTCCAGGGGACAGTATGTGGTACTGGGGATAGAACCCAGGTCAGCCGCAAGGCAAACGCTCTACCCACTGTACGGTTTACCCAACCCCTTGGAAAACAATCTCTGCTCTAGGTTTTTCTTTTTTTCTATATAAGGACTCCGAAACCAATATTCCTCTTTCCGTTGCCTCTGAAATCTGATCAGATTCTTTAAGGGTTTTAGGTAGGTTTTCTTAGAAAACAAAAACAAATCCTAGAACAAACTGGCCCTTCTCAGCAGGAGCGTGCAACAGAAAGACCCCGAGTTCCAGGGCCCGAGCAGGAGTGCAGCAGGGAGAGCACTTCCCTTGCACACGGCCCACTCAGGTTTGATCCCTGAGAACAGAACCAGGGGTCAGCCCTGAGCACTGCCGGATGTGGCCCCAAACCAAAAAATTTTTGCTTGTCTACGCCATTTCCATGGTTCCTCATAATTTCTTTCTTTCTTTTCTGTTTGTAATGAGGGGGTCATTCCCAGCAGTGCTCAGGGGACTTATTTGGTACCAGGATCAAAGCAGCACCTATAGTCCCAGCACGCTCTCCATCCCTGTCCTTGGCTTCACAGTTTCTCTCGAAGCTCTCCCTGTAAGCAGAGGAACAAAGGCACGTGGCCTTCCCCAACTCCTGGGATTTCCCAGCCTAGTGAACTAGGTTGAAAACTGGACCTCTTCAACATCAGCCTCTCTTCCTTCCCTTCCGGTCACATTCCTGCTCTGATTTCTGCAGTATTTGAGCAAGATAAAGATTCAGCAGATTGAGAAGGACCGCGGCGAGTGGGATAGCCTCGCGCCGGAAGCCCGCCGGGAGAAGGAGGCTGGCCTGCAGATGTTTGGACAGCTGGCCCGTTTCCATAACATCATGTCCAATGAAACCATTGGCACCCTTGCCTTTCTCACATCAGGTAAGTGCCCAGAGTGCCGCATGTCCGAAGCGGCTGTGGTCAGCCCCTGGACACAGGGCATCCTCACACAACTGCCCATCCGGAGGGCGAGTTAGCCACGTACATAATCAACTAAAGGAGGGATGATCTGAAAATGATCATTAAATTCTCTGGACGGTGTGAGACCTTTGGGGGGATCCCCCAGCAGCCCAAAATAAAAAATCTTGAATTCTGGGTAAATGTGGCAGATGAAAGCATTTTCTTCCCTTCTTATAGAGAGTCATTGTCCAATTCAGTTGCCCCTTGCACAGGTATGTCAAAGGTGGCTAGTCTGAGCAGCCTCCATCCTCGGGCCAGCCCAGGTAGCAGAGAATGACCGGGGGCGGGGGAGCAGGGGGAGTGCAGGCCTCACAAGCATCTCTTGGGAGACCAAAAATAAGAAAAGGTTATAGGGGCTGGAGAGGGGGCTCAAAGGGCTTTGTGTGGGTCACTTGGACTTGACCCATGGCACCATATTAATTTCTTTTAATAATTTTAATAATTTAAAACGGGGTAAATCATTGCTGTCATGTAGATCTCGCTATGATTTAGATACTTGGTGTAGGGCAGTGCGTGGGGGCTGCTCCCAGCTCTGTGCTGGGGGGATTGTTCCCAGTGATGCTCAGGGTACCATGCTGTGCCAGGTCAAACCCAAGCATTCTGCAGGCCAGGGGTGTGCTCAGTATGTTCTCCAGCTCTTAGGACTTAAATATTCTATAAATGGGCTTTCCAGAACTAGCCATTTGTAATTATAGAACACTTAGAATATATCTGGTGTGAGAAACTGATAATTAAATTAATTATCTTGATTAATTGAATTAGTACATAGAGGTCAGGGGTGTTACTCGTTGGTCAAGCACATGCCTTGTGTGTGAGGCCCGGGGTTCAATCCCCAGCACTTCTACAAATAAATAACCACATGGGATGGTGGTCATTGTTGTTGGCAGCATCGAAGCAGACTTCTTAAGTTGGGGAGGTGTTCGTGGTGTAGTGGAGAGAATGTTTTCATCACAATCATGCATTTTTTAAAGATGCATGTATGTAAAGGTGGCCAGGAAATGGCAACACATGTTAGCGGTGTTGACTCCTGGGCAGTTGTCCTGTTGTATTTGTTATTGCTTGCTAACGGATTGTGCACTTTTGTCCAGAGATCAAGTCCCTCTTCGTGCACCCCTTCCTGGCCGAGCGCATCATCTCCATGCTGAACTACTTCCTGCAGCACCTGGTTGGGCCCAAAATGGGGGCCCTCAAGGTCAAGGACTTCAGTGAATTTGACTTCAAACCCCAGCAGCTCGTGTCGGATATCTGCACCATCTACCTGAATCTCGGGTACCTGAGCGGAGCAGCGGGCAGGCCACGTCGGGGGTGGGAGGTGGGGGGAGTAGGGGAATCTTCTCATCCAGGGTTTTGGTAAGGGGATGGCTGGCTGGTAATTAGGTGGAGAGAGACAAAAACAAACTGAAAAAGAGTTCTTTCTCATTGGTGAAAGAATCTTCTGTAGTTTAATGATGTGATTTCGGGACCTGTGGGCCGGTGTTCAGTTTCCAGCTGTCTGCCTTCAGCTCTGCGAATGAGCAGATCGACGTCACTACACCACTGCTTGAAAAAGCAGTGATCCTTTTTTGGGTTTTTGGAGGCTTGGGGTTTGTTTTTCGTTTTATATTGTGTTTTTGAGCCACACTCGGCAGTGCTCAGGGCTTACTCTTGACTGTTTGCTCAGGGGATCATTTAGGGTGTCAGGATTGAACCCAGTCAGCCACATGCAAGGCAAGTGACTTCCCCACTGTGCTATCGCTCCGGCCCCAAGCAGCAGTATTTGAAAGCTGCAGGATACTTGATAGACTTCCTCCCTAAATGTTAGAAAATACCAGTCTATATCAGAAGAACACGAATGGAGTAACACCATTTTTACGAGGCCATACCCATCTATATAGGAAGCCTAAGTGTTTCTTGAATTTTTGGGGGGGTTCTTTTCATCCAAAAAAAGAAAAGTCTGGGGCTGGAGCAATAGCCTTGCACGCGGCCGACCCATGTTCGATTCCCAGCATCCCATATGGTCCCCCGAGCACCACCAGGAGTAATTCCTGAGTGCAAAGCCAGGAGTAACCCCTGGGCATCGCCGGGTGTGATCCAAAAAACAAACCAAAAAAACAAAAGAAAAGTCATTTATGGCAAATGATGGAAAACTTGGTCGCTGTAGCTCCCTCATGGACCTACTCTGATGCTCCGTTTCTCTGTGCTGCTGCTCTTCAGGGATGAGGAGAACTTCTGTGCAACCGTGCCCAAGGATGGACGCTCCTATTCCCCCACCCTGTTTGCACAGACAGTCCGAGTCCTGAAGAAGATAAATAAGCCTGGGAATATGATTGTGGCGTTCAGCAACTTAGCAGAAAGAATCAAGGTGAGAAAGAGGAAAACTAACTTGTTAAGGGGACTAGAGAAGACACTGACTGAGGCGCTTACCTTGCAACAGCTGACCTGGGTTTGATCCCCAGTACCCTAATAGTCCCCCCGAGCCCTACCAGGAGTGATCCCTGAGCACTGCTGGGTGTGGCCCAGAAACAACAAAAAGTCAATTTCCCAGGTGGGAAATAACATTGCTTGAAAAATATAAAGCGACAAAGCAGAGAGTTCAAAGGGTTTGCCTGCAGGAGGCCAGGGGTTAGTCCTTGGCATGATTCCCTGAGCACCCCTGGGAACAAAGCCCAAGCAGAGGTCAAGAACAGCCCCCTAAGCACTGCCAGGAGTGGTCCCAAAACCAAAAAGAAGCAAAAAGGTAAATGATTCTTCCTGATCAGTCCAGGCATTAGAAGTGCCATGTTCTTTTTCGTCTGAGTAGAGACTATTTATTGATGTTGGACACTGCCCATGGCTCAGCGGTGAAGCACCTTCCTGGCACGCATGAGACCTGGATTTGATCCCCAGCACTGAAGAAACAAGAGAGGGAAAAATCTTGATAACAGACCCGCTGTAAATGTCACGGTTGGGAAGGATCTGGGGGTGGCAGGGTTAGCATTTGCATAATTATAGAGTCACTCAGGCAGTTCCTGTACGAAAAACAGTTTCTGGTTTTAGGTACAAACAGGTACCAGAATTTAAAAGTGACTTCAAGAAAACAAAAAATGAAAGTGGCTTTGACATTTGGTTCCTTCATGACTCTTGGTTCCTTGGGGCCTGACTCGGTGACAGTCTCTGTAAAGAGACACTAATAGCAGGACGACAGCTTTTGTCGGACTCTGGGCTAGGATCTCTCCTCCTTCTTAATATTTGCTCGTGGAGCTACCATATACCGACCACAGTGATTAACTGAATACAATACTGTATTTTTTCTCCTCTTTTTGAGTCACACCTAACAATGAAGCTTGGGACCTTGTGACAAGGGTTGAATCTGGGGTTCCAGCATGCAAAGCTGGAATGTAAAGCATACGTGATAATCCTTGGAATTCTCTCCTTGGCCCTATTTTTCTTTTTTATCTTTTGAACCTCTTCACCCATTTTTCCCCACTCCTCACTCACAGCCTTTGGCACAGTGTTCTCATTTTTAAAATGTATGGGCTGGAGCGATAGCACAGCAGGTAGGGCATTTGCCTTGCACACGGCCAACCTGGGTTCAATTCCTCTGTCCCTCTTGGAGAGCCCGGCAAGCTACCGAGAGTATCCCACCTGCACGGCAGAGCCTGGTAAGCTCTCCATGGCATAGTCGATACGCCAAAACCAGTAACAACAAGTCTCACAATGGGGACGTTACTGGTTCCTGCTTGAGCAAGTTGATGAACAACGGGAGGACAGTGCTACAGTGCTATGGATAGGGGGTTGGAAAGGTATCTCAGCAGTAAGAGTCTTGCCTTGCACACAGCCCCCCCATATTGTCCCCAGAGCCCACCAGGAGTAATTCTTGAAAGCAGAGCAGGATAAACCCCTGCGCATCGCCAGGTTTAACCCCAAAACCAAAATAAATAAGACCTCTTGTTCACTCTTTTTTTTGGTTTTGTTTTTTTTTTTTTTTGGGTCACACTCAGCATTGCTCAGTGGCTACTCCTGGCTCTGCACTCAGGAATTACTCCTGGTGGTGCTCAGGGAACCGTACAGGATGCCAGGGATCGAACTCAGGTCAGCAAATGCCCTGACTGCTGGTACTATCGCTCCTACCCAGGGGGAGGGTGTTTTTATTTATTTATTTATTTTGCTTTTTTGGGTCACACCTGGCAATGCACAGGGGTTACTTCTGGCTCTGCACTCAGGAGTTACTCCTGGCGGTGCTCAGGGTACCATATGGGACGCTGGGAATCGAACCCAGGTCGGCCGCGTGCAAGGCAAACACCCTACCTGCTGTGCTATCCCTCCAGCCCTGGGTTTTTGTTTTTTTTTTTTTAAATGAATCACCGTGAATACAATGATTGAGTACCCATTCCTCCACCAGTGCCCATTCTCCACCACCAATGTTCCCAGCATCAATTCAGCCCAGTGTTTATTAAAACATATTTAGAAAGATGAAAGGAGAGAGAGGGGAAAAGTATGTGTTCAAGAGAGAACACAGGCTTCTCCACAGTGGGAGTAAGGAAGCAAAGAGGCATCGAGACAAGCGCGTGAGATCCGTGTTCAAGGGACAGCATGAGCCTGGAGAGCCCCCCACCCCCAGACCCCCAGTAGAATTAGCTCCTGCGGAGCCAGACAGGTTGCCGAGATGGAGCTGGGCGCTAAACTTGCTCTGCTGCCTCGGAGACCATAAGCGAGTTCTGTCACTTCACTTTCTGAGATCAAGGTATAGGGGGCCCAAGAGAAAGAACAGGGGCAAGGTCCTTGGCTTGCAGGCATCGACCCCGCTTCTCTCCCCAGCACCCCAGAAACTCCCCTGAACCTTGTCAGGGGCTGGTTGTGGGCTCAGAGCTGGAACTAGCCTCAACCCACCTCCCAGAAGGGCAGGTGAAGGCGGTCGGACTCTGAGGAGCCGCGGGAGTAACTCGCGTGTCTCTGTTCAGTCTCTAGCCGACCTCCAGCAGCAGGAAGAGGAGACCTACGCAGATGCGTGCGACGAGTTCCTGGACCCCATCATGAGCACGCTCATGTGTGACCCCGTGGTGCTGCCGTCCTCCAGGGTCACTGTGGATCGCTCTACCATTGCCAGGCATTTGCTCAGGTAAGTGCGCCCTGGAAAGCACCCCTAAGCACAGTGCGCTCCAGGCCTCCGAGCCAGGCCTCTGCACCCCAGAAATATCGCCAGTTTGCTGGTCTGTTGGAGAATCATTTGGATAAAGGGCTGCACTTGACTGTTAGGGACATAAGGACTCTATCAGGACCAGGAGCTGGAGAGAGGAAGCAGGGGTGAGGCACTTACTTGCCTTGCATGCCAGCTTCCCAGGGTTTTATTCCTGGCACTAAATATAGGTCCCCTGAACAGCGCTAGGAGTAAGCTCTGAGCACAACTAGGTAGGGCCCAAAAAACAAAACAAAAAAAAGGTAGGTGAGATAAAAAAGCTGAAATGGGGGGAGGGGCGGGGGCGCGGAGGGGCTGTTTGTAGTTCACTGATAGAATAAATACATTCTTGTCTTATATGTGTGAGGCCTTGGGCTCATCCCTGGCAGTGAAGGAAGAAAGAGAAATCGACCACCCATAGTTTCTGTCTCCGAGAGTGTCCAGGTGTTTGTTTTTGGGCTGAGGCTGTTAGGGTTTATGGAAGTAAAAAAACCTTTTCCTTTCTCTCTCTGTCCCAGTGACCAAACAGATCCCTTTAATCGTAGTCCCCTCACCATGGACCAGATCCGGCCAAACACAGAACTAAAAGAAAAAATCCAAAGGTGGCTTGCCGAGAGGAAGCAACAGAAGGAGCGACTTGAATAAATACTGTGAACCAGACCAATCACACCAATCCCAGCGTGTAGATAAGCACTTGCGGTTCTCACTTTCTGGTTCTGTTTGCTTTTCTTTCTTTCTTCCTTTCTCTTTCTGACTTCCTTACTTCCTTTCTTTCTTTCTTTCTCTTTCTTCCTTCCTCTCTTGACTATATTAGAGAACTGCTTTTGCTTAAATTATGATCATTTAGATTCCTGAGAACTTGACCGTGCTCTCCCAGCTTACAGGAAGTGATACTACATCATCACCAAGTTAGAATCGTCACTAATTTTTTAACCTCTGTTCTCTTTCTTCTTACTTCTCCTACCTTAATTTATATTAACTCCCACTATTAAAACTTCCTGTTACTATTTCTCTTTCAAGAACTGCTCAGACATCATTGGTGAGCATTGCTTGTAAGTATACGATGTCCTGTAACAGCTCTGATCCTCTCAGAACCACTCGTTACAGAGGCATTCGCTATTCCTCGTGGCCCCAGCGTTAGTCCTTTGCCTCCTTAAAGCTTTGTAATGTCCATGAACGACCTTACAGAAAAGATACTTTGACATTTGAGGGGTCTTTTGAGTAAGGTGATAAATGAAATGAAAAAAGGAGTTTTAGGGGAATGTTCGTTGGTAGCTCTTACTGTATTATCTTGTAACTCTGAATATTGTGTTATCTCTGAACTTTTGAGTCCAGCCTCTCCCCTGTGGCATTCAGAACACAGAAAACTCACCCCTGTAGGATATTTAGGGGAATTAGTAAACAGACTTGATTCAAAAACCTGAGTCAACAAATTCTGAGGCAAATAAATAAAGGATGTTCTTGGGCCCTTTTTTTAATGAAAATCTGTGCTACAAGGACTAGACTTTGGTAGAAGAGTTAGTCAATGAATATCATAACCATGAAAAATGTTACGGTAACATTTAAAAAAAAAAACAAAAAAACCTAGTATCGATGGTGTATCTTAGTGTGTCCACACACTGAGCAGAGTGCGGGCATGCCATGTGCTCCATTTTATTTCGGTCACTGTCAATTGAGGGCAGTGTGGTGTTTACTAACATTCTAGACTGAATTCTGAGACGCCCGAATGATAGAGCTCGTTTGTTTGGGCTTACCATTTCTAAGTGTGATTTCTAACAGCCTCAGGTCATCAATTAGCAAAGCCGGACTCTGTACAGCCGAGTCCACAAGCCATTTTACCACCCAAAAGCCCGAAGATTTCATAAACAACAAATGCAATACAGTGTAGAAGTTGGGTCACGGCTTCATTTAGAGCTCATGATCCTGGCCCCCGAGATGGTAACTGTCTGGTTGCCCCTGATACATTGCTATAAGCGAACCTTCAATTGGGATGGTGTCTGTTGGAAAACCCCAAATCAGGGTAGCCCACACTCGCTATAAAGTCGATGTTTGTCGCCTGTCGCTGTGCTGGTCAAAAAAGGAAGGCTGCGACCGTGGCAGACAGCAGAGCGTCCGATACTAATTCCGTGCGCTCCCTGGGCCTGGACCGTGTGGTTTGATAGGAGCTGTTTTCTTACACTGAGCTTCGTTTTCATATTTATTAACCTCCTCTACTTCAGATAATGAACTGTATATAAAATAAACTTCCCACCTACTTGCATTTACCTTATGAACTTAATCTAACAGGGTGTTTTTCATTTTGTAGAGAAGGGGGGTGTGGGGCTGGAGCGGGACGGGGAGAAGGACCCGAGTTTTCGAGGAGACAGTTGGAGGGGAGTGGACACAACCTCGGGAGGCAGCTGTTCCCAGCAGCTTTCCCATCAACAACCTCTACGCTGCCTCTAGTGTCTCTGTGTTCTGGAGTTAGTCCTTGGATTGTAAGTCTTTTCAACCCGCTGTTTTGTGTTTCGAGCTCTTTTCCTGAAACTTTTTACGAATGGCACCATTAATGCTGCTGGACATCTTTCACCCATCACAAAGGCGATTGTGTAGCTTTAGGCCACCACTGGTAACAAAACCAAGTGTCCTCTGTGCCTTTTTTTTTTTTTACCCTCTCCTTGAAGTAGTTCTAAGAGGCTCCCCCCAAAATGGGACTTGCATCGTGGTACAGCACGGTTACTGTCTACACTTCTTGGAAGCTTCAAGAAGTGTTTTCTTGTCTGGAACTCGGAAGAGGCTCAGAATCTGTCAGAGCAAACTCTGTGTTGGCTAAGTTGGAGTGTGACAGGGAAACGAAGATGAATCAGCTCTGGTAGGCCCTACCAAGAGGATAATACTAAGCTTAGAAAATTAAGTTAAGTTTGGTCAAGCAAATCTGAGTTTGTGGTTTTCCTTTTTTCTTTCTTTCTTTTTTTTTTTTAATTTAACTTAATGGCAGTGTAAAAACTGAAAGACACTTGAAAGGTTTTTGGCCGTGCAGGGGAAGGTGCCCGTTGCTATTTGGTATCTGACTCAACAAAAGCTTCACGACTTGATTTGATGCTGGTTGCTAAGCAGCAGCGCACAGAGCTTAAGTCTGCTGGGTGCCTTTACAAGTCCGTGGAAGTCACGTGAGGAAACAATGCCCAGGCTCTAACTGCTCAAGAGGGAAAGAACCAGAAAACCAACAACCAACTAGCTACGGGGTGAACGGAAATAAAACTTGATCAACATTAACTATTTTGAAACATTCCAGGAAGGTGACTTCTCATCAGACTTGCCTGGGGGTGTCTGTTCAAAAGCTTGTATTTAATAAATGACCACCTGAATAAAGCCTTTGTCGTCACTTCTTTTATTTTGCAGTATGAAGAACTAGGGGCAGGCGCCTGGAATGCAGCTGTGTGAGGGGGCACATGTCTCCCATATGTGTTCCTGGGTTCGATCCCTGGTACTGCAAAATAGGAAAGAAAGAAAAAAAACAGAGGAAGTTCCAGACATCCCTCTGAATGCCTGAAATAATAATAAATAACTTTATAACTCAGGGAAATGAAAAAGAAATCCCTCTGAAAACGGCAGGACTCTGACCTTATTGTGTTTATATATAGCACTGTAGCACTGTCCTTCCGTTGTTAATAGATTTGCTTAAGTGGGCACCAGTAATGTCTCCATTGTGAGACTTGTTATTGTTTTTGGCATATCAGATATGCCACAGGGAGCTAGCCAGGGTGTGTGTGTGTGTGTGTGTGTGTGTGTGTGTGTGTGTGTGTATGTATGTGTGTGTGTGTTTTAAGTATAAAATGTGTGTGTCCGAACCAGGCTTCAGAACCCGGGGGTATTCAGGCGTATAGACTCTATAGGGGAAAGTAGCTTCAAGGCATACTCTTTTCTAGTTCGCATTTGTCATTACTTTTCCCTATACAGTCTATGCGTCTGTGTGTTTATTTATTGTAGTGCTGGGGGGAGAGGGGTCGTGAAGTGTCAGGAATTGAACCCACATCATGCTTCTCTCTCCTGGGCCTTTGCGTACCTCCTCCCTACAAAATCTCAATCTAAATGAACCCAACCATTCCTCTTGATTCCAGTTTTTTGTCTTGTTATTTTGTCTTGTTATCCCCCAAGGGATGCTCAGGGGTTACTCCTGACTCTGCACTCAGGAATTATTCCTGGTGGTGCTCGGGAGACCATATCCCATATGGGATGCCAGAGACCGAACCTGGGTCAGCCACATGTAAGGCAAACACCATATCCACTGTACTATCGCTCTGGCCCTGGTTCCAGTATCTAAACAACAAAAACAAGTACTTTCTAGGGCCCAAGGTTAACTCAGTGGTAGAGCATATGCCTTGCAGGCATGAGGCTTTGACTTCAACCCCCAGCAGCACCCGATATGCCAGTGCAGCCCAAGCAGCTTGCTCTACTGGGTAATTCTGGCACTGAATCCAGATGCATGAGCACCTCCTGCCCAGCCTGAGGCATCACAACAAAACAGAAGGAAAGGAGAGGTAATTAAGAGTCGAAATGACCCATCTTTTTGTCACACTATTGTCAAATAACCTTTCCCTGTGTCCTTAAAGCCAACAGTCCACACTGGTCTTATTTTGGTCGGGGGCAATTGGCGGGCTGTGGGGCAGCGGCTCCAATATGGTACTAGGTATGGGGCCACTCCTAGCAATAGTCAGCCAGTAGACCAGACCCCAAGGATGTGGTGCTGCTTGGGTCCTGTGAGGGCAGGGAGCAGCAAGAACCACCCTAGTAGTGCTTGAAAGGTCATATGTGATGCCAGGGACCAAGTTCAGGTACAGTGCATGTCAGGCCTCTGACCTAACCTCTATACTATCACCCCAGCCTGCTATTTCTAGCTTGAAGCACCTCAAATTCTCCCAACTTTCGGGGCTGGAGTGATAGCACAGCAGGTAGGGCGCTTGCCTTGCACGTGGCCGACCCGGGTTCGATTCCCAGCATCCCATATGGTCCCCCAAGCACCGCCAGGAGTAATTCCTGAGTGCAGAGACAGGAGTAACCCCTGAGCATCGCTGGGTGTGACCCAAAAAGCAAAAAAAAAAAAAAAATTCTAACTTTCCTCCCTGCTCAGCATTCAGGAAGCTGGATTTGATCCCTGATATTGCATGGTCTCCTGAGTACTGCTAGCAGTGGTACCTGGGTACCAGCCAAGAGTAGCGAATGCTGATCCTCACTCCCCCCGCAAAAAAATGACATTTTTAACTACGCTCCCCTCATTCCATCCTTCACAAAGTCTTACTTGTTCCAAGGTTGATCCCTCCAATTTTCTTCCCTGCTGCATAAGAGATATTGTCATCCCATTTACCCTTCACACTGGGAAGGGTGAACCTTCCCTTCTACTTGACTGGTAATAGGATTGAAGAATTTCCTTTTTTAAGGAGTCAGAGCAATAGTATAGCAGATAGTGGTGTTTGCCTCGCACACACAGTGGACCTGGGTTCAAACCCTAGCATCCTCCCATACAGTCAGTCCCCCAAGTCACCCAGGAGTATTCCTGAACTCAAGAGCCAGGAGTAAATCCTGAATACTGCTGGATGTGACTCAAAAACCAAAAGGGAAAATAATTTCCATTTTTAGAAGCTGGAATATATGCTCGGCATTCAGGAAGCTGGATTTGATCCCTGATACCGCATGGTCTCCTGAGTACTACTGGGAGTGACACCTGGCCACCAGCCAAGAACAGCTCCTGAATACTCCTCATCCCTCCCTCCAAAAAAAATTGACGCTTTTCAATTACGCTCCCCTCATTCCATCTTTCACAAAGTCTTCTTTGTTCCAAGGCTGATCCTTCCAACTTTCTTCCCTGCTGCATAAGAGATATTTTTGCCATCCCCCTCTCTTTAATCTCTCCCTGAAATTTCCATATTTGTTTTCCTCACCTGTAGTCATTTGCAGTCACAGTTTCATTCACTCATTCTAGCTTCTATCCTCTTTCATAGTCCCCCCCCCAAATTTGCATATAGCTAAATTAACTTTCTCACTCTTGGGGCAGGAGAGATAGTACAGCCAGAAGGGCACTTGCCTTGCTCAGGGTCAGCATGAGTTCAATCCCTGGCATCCCAGATAGTCCCCTGAGCAGTGCCAGGAGTAATTCCTAAGCATTGCAAGTGTGGCCCCAAAACAAAACACACAAAAAAAAACTCTCATTCTTGAGTTTCTGTGTCAGTAGCCCTGAAGAGCTAAATCACTCCTAAATGAAAAGTGCTCTACACTCCTTGATCTAACTCAAATTTTCTTTCCTCCTCTATAATTTGCCTCATCAGTATGACTTCTACTTGGGCTTCACCAGATTACTGTTTTCCTTTATCAAATGTCGTTATCTTTTCTCCCAGTGATATTTAAAACGTAGTTTCCACTCTAGTGTGTGTGTGTTGTTACACGAATCTCCTCCAAAAACGTCCACAAATCTTAAAGTCACGACGAAAGATACTGCTGCCCCTTCTCTGAGTTTACACAGCAACCTCTTTTTATCACAGCTCAACTGCTACACTTACGGTCATTGATCAATTCTGGGTCTCAAGAGGGCCCTTACCTAAAGCCCGCTTTCTTGAAATCCCAGAAAGTCTGGCAGAGCGGAGCCCCCCCAGGAAATGTGATTTCGCACTTCATAAAATGCACGGGGTTCTGGGGATCGTGAGGGAGCTGGGAGAATAGTCCTGATCCAGAACGCAGGAGAACCAGGGATTACAAACGATCAGCGAGAAAAGGGCAAAGGGCAGAGACAGGTGAGGCGCCGCCCTGTCCTTCACTTGACATGTCTAGCCTAGAATAGACTCGGTCTTTACCGGACGATCGTATTTGCCTAGAAAAATCTCAAAGAAGTCACAGCCGGGACCGCCCAGGTTCCCCGGGGACCGACAAGAAGACCTTGGAGGTCGGCAAGGCAGCAAACTGCGCACAAGGCTCACGGCGCATGCGCCTCGGCTTTCAAGCGCCGGCCTCGCGGGCGGCCGAGGGGCTGCCCCGAGAACTGCCTGTTTCCCTGTGGACACCCACGGGTCCCTCTGTGTGCTCTGAGACCACCTCTTCGCATCCACTCTCTCCTCGGTGACTGCAGAGAGCGATATGACTACAAGAAACACAAGAGTTCCTGGAAAGATGGGCGGACCCCGAAAAAAATTGGAGCAGGCGCGGAAAGTGGAGGCCTGACCTTGCCCGCGGGCCGGGGTCCTGCGGAGGGGTCCTTCCGGGGGTGACTTTCAGCCGGCCGAGCTGGGCGACGGAGGCTCCGTGCTGGCACCATGGCCCAGTTCGTGCGCAACCTCACGGAGAAGGCCCCGGCGCTCATCAGCGGTGAGCGGGGCGCGCGGGAGGGCGCAGGGGAGGGCGGCGCGGCGGGGCGCCGTGCGCGGGGCCGAGCGGGAGGCCGGCGGAGGCCGGTCTGGCCTGGCCTGCTCTGGGTCTCTCCGTCCTCCCCGGAGGTGGTGCATCCGCCCCGCGGTGGCGGGGCCCCGGAGCGCAGCGTTTGGCTCGGGGACGTCCCTGGAGCTGCTCGGGAAGCGGACCACCTCCGAGCCGGGCCCTGTGCTTTCCATCATCCCCCCCCCCCCAGCCCCGAGAGTGCGGCTGGAGGTGAGCCTGACCTTCAGGGTCGCGTGACCCGGCCCCAGAAAGCATCGAAAGGAGGGGGACGCCCTCCGCGGTCACCAGTGTTATCCCCCTGCTCGGGACTGCTTGTTTCAATCCGTTTGTTTTTTGGAAAAGAAAAGCCAGAGCCGCCCCGCTAGACCGCGCTGTGCTTCCGCCCCGAGTGGGCCCGGACAGTGACGGTCTTTCGGTGGTCTGCTGGGCCGTCAAGCTGTTCGTGGCATTTCTGAAAATGACGCGCCCGGGGGCGTCTTTGTTGGGGATGCAGGTTTCTGGGGCGATTAGGCTTGGCCTTTCTTTAAGGCTTTGGCTGGAATCGAAGCGTGAAGGGGGATTGGAGAGGATGGGGGTGGGGAGCGCACCCGGCGGTGTTCAGGGGCTGCATCTGGCTCCGTGCTCGGGAGTGACCCCTGGCGGTGCCCAGGGGCCTTACGTGGTGCAGGGATTCGAACAGGGATGCAGCTGCAGCCGCCTGCATCAATATCTAAACAGTGAGTTATTGAAGGTTACCAGAGTACCAGATACAAGAAGTGCTTGATTCAGGCCGAAGCAGTAGAACAGTCGGTACTTGCCTTGTATGCGGAGGAGCAGGGTTCCATTCCCAGCATCCCATGCGCCCACCACCCCTGCCCCAGCACCACCAGGAGTAATTCCTGCACAGAACTAGGAATAACTCCTGAGCATCGCTGGATGTGACCCAACCCCCTTCCCCCCCAAAA